TGGATAAATTTATATGTCAGATATCGCAGCCATTTACAGTAAGAGGAAAAAGCCATGGGGACGTGCAGAGCTCTGCGATCCTGTTTCTGTGGGACTCTGGCTTTGGATCCTACGCGCGTGCACGTCATCCAGCGTTACCCTAAGCCCAGCTCTGGCACCGGCCCATATGTGTGGCAGCCAAAGAAGGCATTTTAAGCTGTGGCAAAGCGGGGTTCGTGCTGGCTCGCTCCTCCCTTCCTCCTCCTGGTTATAAATACACCATGTGAATTAAATGCTCGCTGGGCATCAAAACCCATGGTAGCCCTTAAATTGCATTAAATTGCATTAGGCTGATGAGTTTTGTGCCCGTGGTGGGAGGCGAGGGCTCGTTTGGGAGCTGGCAGGGTTAAGATGTGTTTGCCTTGTGCAGATAGCAGGCGGTTGGATGCCTCCCTGTGCAGGCAGCAAATGCATTGGCTGAGGTTGAGGGCGGTTCTCCTGCCACAGTTGTTTTCTGTCCTGGACTTTGTTGGATCTGGAGCCTCCTAATTGCCTTGTCTGTAATCAAAATACAGCTTGTGTAACTCGGAACAGACAGTGCGAGGAGGGTTTGCTCCTTGTTGCTGGACTTGTTATTACATTGTAGAAAGATCAGGTCGATCCATAACAAATCGTTCCCAAAATCATGTGAGAACCTCTGTCCCTGGGCAGCACATGTGAAGCATCTTGACTTTCATGCATGTGGTTTAGAATTTATCCTTAATGAACTGTCGTCTTCTCATCACACCCAAACCACCATCCTTGTGAATACCGGTTCAACTCACCCAGGACACTGTTATTTTGGACTTGATGATCCTTGTGGGTCCCTCCCAACTCAGAATATTTTGTGATTCCCCTGTGATTCTATTTAAACCCACCCAATGGCAGAGAATCACAAAGGAACAGCAAAACTCAGCCTGAGTGATCTTTTTTCCCTCTTTTTCAGACAATTCACTGTTTTGGTAGCAAAGACCTAACACAAATGTTTTTAATCTTACTTCAGTATTCAGACAAACTGTTCATTAGCTGAACAGCTTAATGCTTAATTGACTTGCCTGTTAAATATGGATCTCCTGGTTACCTGTGTTGGCTCAGGAATATGTTTACAGTATCAGTGTGTTTTGTTTCCACCTGGAGCACAGGGAAGTGGTGAAACATGGGAGCAATCCACAGAGGTAGAAATTCCTTTGCGCTGACTGCTGCCTTCTGTTCCCCCCAGCTGGGCCTCAGCACCATGAAGAAATGTCTGTCTGAATCCCTAATCAGAAAGGTTTGGAAAATGCATTGTTTCCTCAGTCTTGGGAGCAGGTTAGCAGAGAGTTAAATATTTATTCACCCATGGAACAACAGGTTTGAACATCTTGTGTGGTCTCTGTTTCTCCCCCGTCCAGGGCACATTATTTAGGAATCAGGCTGCTTGTCAGCTTTGGGACGGGGATTTTAAATGTCCAGTTCTTCCAGATCTGCTGCCGAGGTGTCGTGGCTGTTCTGCTCAGCTTTGCTCTGGTGCTGGTGCTGAAGCCCTTGTTCCTGCAGCAGCTTTTGTGGTTTGGTGTGGTGGCTTCTGCCCCTTCCCTGTAGTAGCTGTTCCCTTGTCTCTCACAGGGATTTATGAAGGTCCCTTTTGATTTTCTATGAGGAATGAAGAGAGTTAATTTTTTGTCATACTGAGAGCAGGGCACTGCGTTGCCCGAAAGTCTCCCACAACATTAACCAGAGGCTGGGGGGGGGTGTGGGTGCCACATCTGAGCCTCCTCACATTGTACCACGTCATGCCACAGCTTCTAAAAGTGCCATCTGAGAATCACAGAGTATGCAGAGTTAGAAGGGACCCACAAGAATCATCGAGTCCAACTCCTGGCCCTGCCCAGGACACCCCAAGAATCCCACCCTGTGCCTGAGAGTGTTGTCCAAACACTCCTTGAGCTCTGACAGCCTTGGGGCTGTGACCACTGCTCTGAGGAGCCAGTCTTTTTGCAAAGGGGCAAATTTACATGGGCTAAAGACAATTATTGGAGTCTGCAGACCTCAGTGGCAAAGGGGTAACTGGGGTGCACTTGCTCAGCACAAACCTATTCAGTGTAGTCCTGCAGTGAAAGCACAACATGGCAGCAAAAAACCCAAACAAAACCTGCCATCTGACCGGTCTGAGTCACAAAACCTGTAGTATTAGTTATAAAAAGCCATAGTGAAGATACTCTGGAGAGGTTTTACACGACTTCAGATGCTCCCTGACATGCAGACTTTGATAATGTCACACCGACATCTGTTCAGGATCTTGGGTAATGAGGATTTGCACAAAATAGTGATTGACAATTTCTGGTCTTGAGTGCTTAATGGAAAAAAAGCTGTTGCCTTGGGTGCTTTGCTTTCTTTGAGCTGTCTTTGAGGCATCAAAAGCTTGTGGAACAGGAAAAAGAGAAACGTTAAGAACGGTTTAAAAATAGTTCAATTGTACCTTCTAAGAACCTTTAGAGTGGAGACTTGAAGCAGTTTCTACCTTGTGAATATTTGCAGCTGAGTTCAAAATGTGTAAATAAGCACAGGGCTTTGAAGATTAGTTTCCATAACAAATTAAATAAAAATATTGTGTGGCAGAATGTTAAGTAGGTGCCATGTGTCACCGGGAGCTTTGCATGAGGGCCAGCTTTTCCCAGTTTCCCGTCTGTTCCGCTGACTCCTTGGGAAACAAGGGCTGTCTTTTGAATAGTTTAAACTTTGTAGTTCTGAAAACCCAGGAAAATATCCTTCTGCACAAACACTGGGACTTGTGCTGCTAGCACTTGCTCTCCAGCTCCCACAAACCATTCCTGCCTGCATTTCCTGGTTTGCTTCCCAGCTGGATGCTATTCCTGCTCCAGGGAGGTACCAGACAGTGTAGGAGTCCTTGCAGGACATCTCTGTATCAGGGGAGGTGTGGGAGAAACAGCCCAGGCTTTTCCCCCACCCATAAACCTTAGTTTAGACTGGAATTAGTAAGTTTGATAATGTTTTGGACTAAATTCTGGAATTTTCTATTGCCAGTATTTCAAATAAACTGTTGCTAGACAGTCCTCACCTATGGCCTGGTAAGGAATGTATAACCATTTAAAACATCCATGTGTAACCACTTAAAAAGACTATGTATAACTATTTAAAACAAGCTTCTCATTTTATATTGTCTAATACAAGGTGTCATCTGCAAGTTGCTGCTATTTGGCTGTTGCATTTCAATCAGTTGTGACAGGTTCACAAAACATTGCTAGAAAAGGGCAAAAAGTTGGTCAGCATGAAAGAAAATTAATTTGAAACACGGTCCTGTATTTCTTGTTAATGGATGAATTGTGAGGGATGTACAGAGAAAACACCTGCAGTGAGTGACTGACATGGAAGCAGTAAGATATTTGAGATTAAATTATCCTTGAGATAGAATTTCTACTTTGTCCATTTCATGCTTCCTCAGCTGGAACAAACTAGTGGTTGCTCATCTTTACTACCTCATCTACTGCTGCTTATTCCAAGAATGGCATTAACAGCTTTACCACACTTAATTCTGCAATCCCTTAATGTGGGGTGGAGGGGGATTTTCTTCCTAACCACAGCTGGGGATTGGATCCTCCAAACACGGGCAGCACACACTGGGGATCCCACATGCTGCTTCTGTGGCTGAATGAAACTGCACCACGTTCCATGACTGCTCTGCTCACATGTGTTAACCAGAAATTAAAGATAACACTTCACCCCTGAACACTAGGGTGGCTGGGGCCTCCCCAAATGGAGCCCTTCCTGCTTTGACACTGAGTATTGGACACAAAGCCTGGGGAATCTTGAGGCAGATGGTGTTAATTCAGGACTTATCTCTGTATCCCTTCACTGAGGCAGGACATCAGGAACTGTTCAGCTGCGCCTTCAGACAGAACCCTCTGGTTTAGTGAGAACAAGGTGGTGTCTTGATCTGTGCCTTGGCAATTCACAGCTGTATCCCAAAGACCATGGGGATAAATCCAGGCCCACATCCCCCACATAAAGCCCTTCCTTTTGCTGTGTCAGAGCCGGGCTTGGTGTTGGTTCTTGCTCTTAGAGTGCTGATTGCAGCTTTGTTCTGTCCTTCCTGACGTGAAGTTCTGTGGCGTGTTCTGGATTAAGCAGTTGGATTTAATCAGTTCAGCCTTGTTTGAACCACTAAGACTGAGCTTGGAGGTGCTGAGGGGCAGGACTGACCTTCCCTCGGGAGATTCCCTGGGTTTGCTCAGCTGCTCCTCACCGCGTTACTCGTAGTGTTTGCTCAGGGCTGTGCCACTGGTTTCAAAGCCCAAACCACTTGTTAAAGGTATTGTGGGGCACTAAGTAATTGGTAATTAAAAAGTAAACCATAAAAATCTCAAGCAATAACACTCATGGGTGTTCTTCTTTATGGAGCTGTTGAGAGAGTCACCGAAGAGCTTGTGTTGGTTCAGGGCAGTAGGATTCCTCCGGGAAACTGGTGACAGGATGAGAGAGAGATGGGAAAAAATTCCTGATAAAGCTGAAGGGTTGTGTTAAAAGGATTGTTGGACACGTGTTATTCGCAGCATTACTATGGGAAACTTAAAATTCTTAAACTAAGAAGCAAGAACTTTCTGGCTGAAACTGGCTGTCCCAGGTTGGGACTCTACAGCTCTTACTGTAGAGTCTGATCACTCCCGAGCTTCGGAAATAGTGTTGGAGTCACCAAAGCTCTCCTGGAGCCTCATAGCGCTGAACTCAGGAAAAGGAAAGTCACTTTTCTCTTTTTGATGAGCATTAATGAGTTGTGAAGATGAACACTCTTCAAAAACATTATTAAACTGTGGAATTTTCACTGAAAAGCGGAGATGAGGCACCTGCGCTTTGTGGTTGCCTCTTTGAAAGGGAAGATGCCAAAGCAAGCAGGACCGAGTGCCACAACTTGTGAGCTTTCAGGGTCACAACATCACTGGGTTGTTCTGTGACTCTCACCTGCCTCTGATGTTTTCTCTCCCCAGTTTGTCCAGCTGCCTGCAAGTCCCAGGGCTGCACCTCAGACGGGCAGTGCTGTCACAGCGAGTGCCTCGGGGACTGCACGGAGCCCAGCGACCCCGAGAAGTGCGTGGCCTGTCGCAACTTCTACCTGGAAGGGAAGTGTGTGGACAACTGCCCCCCTGGGTACTACCGCTTCGAGGGCTGGCGCTGTGTGACCTTCAGCTTCTGCCAGGAGCTGCATAACAAGTGTAAGAACGCCAGGGAGTCGGGGTGTCATGTCATCCACAACAATGAGTGTGTCCACGAGTGCCCCTCGGGGTACATCATGAATTCCAGCAAGTAAGTACATGGTCTGCAGGTAAAGAATCCATGCTGAGGTTTTTGGGGCTCTACTTTCATCTTGCTTGGACATGGGGTTTGTGTTCTCTGTGAACACCAAGAAAAATTTCCGGCTTTGGAGCGTCTGTAACAATCACCTGGTTGGTCTCCTTTAATATGATTTACAAACTAATACCTTGCTAATTCAATCCATTAAAAGCAGACAGCTCTAACCTACCATATGCTAGGAGTTTATTCTTCCCTTGACCTCCCTTGTTCCCTCTCAAGTTTGGAAAAGGTGCGAAAAGGGAGATTGAGAGAGAGGACAAGGAAGAAGAGCATCCTCAAATTGGAACGGTCTTTCTGTAGTAGAGTGGGAGGAGGGAGATGGGCAGTGGAGAGGCTTTAGCAGCCCTGTTTTCCTCCCCTCTAGATCAACCTCAGGCCAGAAAGCTAGGCTGGAAAACACAACAGGGAGAGGTTGTGGCTGGAAAGTGCAACAGGGAGAGGTCATGGCTAATCAAAAGAGTGCAGCGTCCTTTGAGTGGATCGTTCTCAGAATATCTGTCCCTCATCCCTGTAATTACTTTCATTGAGCAGGTTCAAGCTGTGCCAGACATAAATGCACAATGTAACAAACAAAATAGACAACCATTCTGTCTGTTCCCAGGGTTTTTCGACAAAGGAATTAAATAATTTATGTTGCTGAACTGTTTATCACTGAAAACTTTGTTGTTTGTCCCATAATACCATTATATATTGTGATGAGTCAGATTTCCTATGAGTATTGGTAGCTTTGTGATCGTATGTATTTGCTCCTGCCATAATAAATTTCAGGGAATTCACTCTAACAGGACTTTTTATGCCATTTCCTGTTTTGCTTTTCAGAAGAATGAACAAGCAGCCCCAAAGTAGCTCTGCTGGTTGTGTAACAGCACCATGGCCTCTCCCGTGCTGTTCCAGGCTGCTGCCAGTGGGACCTCACAGCTCTGTTCCCTGCTTTTCCTAGAGCATTTCTTTCTCTGAACTAGTTGGGAACACATTTTTGTGGTGTCGCGACCAGGGCAAGCGATGAGCTCGCAGTATTTCCCCAGAGCACAAAGCACATACTTGCCTTTTTTAAAGCAGCTTTATGTGCAGTCTTCAATCAGAGGATTCCCAGATGAAGGGCCACCTCATCAATTACATGTTTGGTTAACAATCTTGGGATGAAGACTGGGTTTGTTGGTCTTGAAACCCTTGGTATGTAGAGCACTGAGCAGCATCGTGGCGAATGGACTCTTCAGAATAACAAAAATCACTTTGTTCTGGTTTCTGTTATGTAGGAAGAGAGGGAGTGATTTATGTTTGAAATGTAGAAATGATAATTTAAAGAATTATTTTCAGGGCCAGGTTGGACAGGGCTTGGAGCAACCTGGTCTAGTGAATCCCATGACGTATTGCCAGGACACCAGTGCTTTTGGGAATTGCTGGGGATGCCCCAGGTGACATTCCATGTTAAACATCATCCCTGTATCCCAACTGTCTTGTTTTCCAGCCTGCACTGCACGCCCTGTGCGGGGCCCTGTCCCAAGGTCTGTGACTTTGGGAAGGAGAAGACAATCGACTCAGTGACATCGGCGCAGGAGCTCCGGGGCTGCACAGTTGTCAATGGCAGCCTGGTTATAAATATCCGGGGAGGAAGTAAGTGCTCCGTGAGTGAGGACTGGGCAGCACAGGATGGCAGGGCAGGGAATGTGACACCAGCCCTGAGCTGGGGCTTTTCTGGTGACCAGTGACAGCACCCAAGGGAATGGCCTGGAGTTGTGTCAGGGGAGTTTGAGGTTGGATATTAGAGAAAGGTTCTTCCCCCAGAGGGTGGTGGGGCACTGAACAGGCTCCCCAGGGCAGTGGTTGCAGCACCAAGGGTGCCAGAGCTCATCAAGTGTTTGGATGATCCTCTCAGGCACAGTGTGTGCCTCTTGGGGTGTCCTGTGCATGACCAGGAGTTGGACTGGATGATCTTGTGGGTCCCTTCCAACTCAGTCTGTTCTGGGATTTTCTTTTGCTTTGACCACCCTGAATCTTAGAGGGATTCAGAAAAATAACCACTAAGCAAAGGCTCTTGAGGTTATTGGTTATTTGGGGTTTTGTGTTAATTGAATTTTTTAAGGTCTCATGAATTAACATAAACCAGTTCTGTTTAATGTATTTGGGCTCTGATATCAATGTTTCTTCTCAGTGATATCAGAGAACTAATCCCAATGTTTTCCTCTCCATAGATAACATAGCAGCTGAGCTGGAAGCAAATCTTGGCTTGATAGAAGAAATCTCAGGTTACCTCAAAATTCGCCGCTCTTATGCCTTGGTTTCTCTTTCTTTTTTTCGGAAGCTCCATCTGATTAGAGGAGAAACACTTGAAGCTGGGTGAGTTCCCTCAAAAGACACTGTATTTGAATGCTTTGAAGTGCAAGGAGTGCCAGTGCTATCAGAACGATTTGTATTTGGAAACAATTCATAAGTTATTTTTAAACATTCCTCTGCCCATGGATCGTGCCCTACCAGGGGAGACAGTTTGCATTCACTTTTCTTCGGTGTCTGGGTTGGTGCACGAAGAAAAAGGAATTTTCAGTGGATCCCCTCCCAACCCATGTTTTCATTCTTCTTCTTTCAGCAATTATTCATTTTATGCCTTGGACAACCAGAACCTCCGCCAGCTCTGGGACTGGAGTAAACACAACCTCACTATTGCGCGAGGCAAACTCTTCTTCCACTATAACCCCAAGCTGTGCTTGTCAGAAATCCACAAGATGGAAGAGATCTCTGGGACTAAGGGGCGTCAGGAGAGGAACGACATAGCCCTGAAGACCAACGGGGATCAAGCCTCATGTAAGAGTCTCAGAATGCAGCAAGACTTGCCTCAGTACCATCCTCACACTCCTATTTCCCTCAACCTGGCCCATAATGTTTGTCCAGGGACTGTCGTTGTACTTTTGGTAAAGCACCAGACTTGCCACTTGAGTAAAGTCCTATGCCATGAGGAAAAGTCCCCACAGTTCTCCCTCTGGAAGGTGCCTGCCTTGCCAGCTTTGGTCCCCAAAGTTCGCTCTCCGTGGGCTCTGCTGGGAAGTTTTTGGGGCTGAGAGTATTATTTTTGAAGAGTTTAGCACAACATAACCTTGGTCCGGGCTGGGACTTCATGTTACTGCCGAGTACCTGATTAATAGTCATAACCTCCTTTTCCCATGTCATGAGGTGACAGTGGGCACACAGAATAAACATGGGAGAAAGAGGATTTCCACCCATCCCTGGAGCCATGTGAGGAAATTGCCATGACAACAGTCAGGGAAATTTTCCAACAGTTTTTGCTGTGCTTCTCAGAGGTTTTTAAGCTAATGGCTTTCTTCAGGAACAATAAGGCAGTGCCTGTGTCAGCAGGGTTAAGGCACTGAAGTTGTGCTCCTGAAGATGTAGTTTTGAAGATAGTTTTTTTGGCAGCAGTGCTGCCATAAATGCATCCCTTCTGCCCCCCCAACCCTGCTGTTTGTTCCCTTTCTGTGGCACACAATCTCCTTTTCCTGTATGTGCCAGTAAGACACTTACAGGGCCGTGTGGTGAAGCAGACTGTGGGGATAGAAAATACCCAGCTTTGTTCTTAGCTGGTGGTATCTCTGCTCTGATTCTTTACTTGCCTGCGCATAAGAACAGGAGCACACACAGGTTAACATGAGATGCTTATGCAGGTATTGCCAGCAAAAAGCCCAGCATTAATTAAACTGTGATTTCAGATCCTTGCCCACACCCTGCAGTGCAGTTTGGATCATCCTGTGGATGCTCTGTCCCTCTGCTTTTGGGGACAGCACTGCTAAAGGTCCCTTCCAACCCAAACCATTCCATGATTCTGTGATCCCTCAGTTCTGCCCTTGTTACCCTGATGTAGCTGTTTGTGAACAGACTTAAAAAGTGAAGATCTTTCAGCTGACTCAGTTTGCTGGTCTGGTTTTCCACATATCAACACATGCAGCCATGCATGCACAGTGGGAGAAGGGAATGCAATGGCTATGACCTAAAAACTGGCAGTACCAGTGAAAAACACACACAGAGCCCTATCCTCAGGGGCAGCAGAGCTCCAGCCTGGGCAGAGGGAAGGAGTACGAGGAATTAGCTGTCTGTAAAGTTCATCACCTCCCACGAGACACTGAAAAGCTCTTCCCGCATTGGGGATGAACCTGGGTTTGGAGTTCAGACCCAGCTCTGCCATGTGGCAGCTCTTGGGCTGGTGTTTGGTTTGAAGGCAGCTGGAGGAGACAGTTGTATTCCTCTTTGCCAACTTTGCCCCTCCTCTGCTGAGCTGGTGTCTGTGCCACCCCCACCTCAAACCACAGCTTGCCAGGGTTTGGCTTTTTGTTTGCTTTTACATTTCAAGTTCAGTTTTCATATTGGCAGCATCCTGTTTACTGAAAAAAATAGAGAAAAAAAAGAAAGCCTTTGTTCTGGATGTAGTGCCAGTGAAATGAGTGTTCTTCCTCTCTTTGCAGCTACTGCAGGAATAGCAAATCCAGTCAGAGCCACAGTTTGTCCTTCTTGGGCTGCTGGGACAAACCTCCTGCAAACACCCTCCTGTTTACAAAGGGACCAAACTACTCCTGGGCAAGGCTGGGAAATCATGTGCTTCGTTTTTGTGCACACCCCATTGCTGGGTTCATCTGTGTAGATCATGATAAATTGTAAAATATGTTGCTTTTAGATTTCCCACTTTTTAGAATTTAGTTCAACTCTTCTACATTTTCATAAAATCATTGCAAAATTTAAGCTGGCAGGAGTCTTAGCAGGGCATCTATTCCAACCCTGACTTAAGGTAGGAATAGCACTGAAGTAAGATAAGCAGCTCTTCTCAGTGCCAGCATTCTCATCTTTAGCTTACACTTCTCAGATAATAGAAATTGAAACCCTTATTTTTTAGCATTAATAAATGCATTGTCGCTTCTCATTTGTCTCAGGTGAAAATGAATTGCTGAAATTTTCTTACATCAGGACTTCTCACGACAAGATCCTGTTGAAGTGGGAGCCATATTGGCCTCCTGATTTCCGTGATCTCCTGGGATTTATGCTGTTCTACAAGGAAGCGTAAGTGACCCACCCTTCGATCACAAACCAGTGGCCATGTTGGGTTCCCACAATCAGCAGTTGGCCTTAAAGAGTGGATAATAAACCTGTTGTAGGCAAAGCTGTTTAATCTCTGATTGTCTGGCTCCAACACTTCAGTTCCCAACTGTACCCTTGTATAAAAGTGTTCATTAAGATCCCTGACTTACCGAGTTGTGGACAGTCAAAATTCCTCATCTAAGAACAATCCAAACATGAGTTCTTCCAGTTCTTCTAACCATGAAGTTTCTCATCTCCCCACCACCTGCATGGGATGTTTAGGGTTTTATTCCCTTTGAGGTGGGAAAGGTTCTTTTAGAAACTGGTTTTCATAAAGCTGAAAATAATTAGCCTGGATTTAGTTGTTGGGATCATGTGTGGCACAGGACCTGCTCTTTGATGCCTCACTTTCAGAATAAATACAACAAGAGAATTAATACTGTCTCCGAAGAGTAAAGAATGGTAACTTTCAGTGATGTCCTTAGAACTTTTTAAAGATGAGTGAAGTTTTTAAAAGAGGAGTGAAGATTCTGTTAATTTGAACCTTTTCTGTCCTAAAGTCCTTACCAAAACGTGACGGAGTTCGATGGCCAGGATGCTTGTGGGTCAAACAGCTGGACAGTTGTGGATGTTGACCCACCCCCACGGTCCAACGAGCCCAAAGCCCAGGCCCAGCCAGGCTGGCTTCTGAGGGGCCTGAAGCCCTGGACACAATATGCTGTGTTTGTGAAAACCCTGGTCACCTTTTCCGATGAGCGGCGGACATATGGAGCGAAGAGTGAGATTATCTACATCCAGACCAACGCCACGGGTCAGTACCAGCACATTAATGTTGCTTTGCAAGGGAGAAAGAGTTCTAAATAAGTCCTAAATAAGAAGAGGGACAGCCACTGATCTCTTCTCTGTGGTGACCAGTGATAGGACCCCAGGGAATGGCCTGGAGTTGTGTCAGAGGAAGTTTAGGCTGGATATTAGGAAAAGGTTCTTCTCCCAGAGGCTAGTGGGGCACTGAACAGGCTCCCCAGGGCAGTGGGCATGGTACCAAGGCTGCTAGAGCTCATCAAGTATTTGGATGATCCTCTCAGGCACTGGGTGTGACTCTTGGGGATGGTCCTGTGCGGGGCCGGGAGTTTGACTTGATGATCCTTGTGAGTCCCATCCAACTCAGCAGATTCTGTGCTTATGTAAATAGTCTTCTGCCTGGGAGCTGTGATAGTCCCACATCCATGAAACTTTCCATTGCTGCTGTACTTTGGTAGGAAGGAATTCCTAAACAAATGGAAGGGTATGGGATTCCCTGCACAGGGAGATTTGCCAAGTGTTCTCTTCTATCCAGCTCATGCGGCCATGTGTAAGAATCATTAAGGCTGGAAAGGACCTCCAGGATCATCAAGTGCAGCCTTTGGGAGCCTGAGTGTTCTGGTGTTTCTACTGCAGGAACCTACCATGGAGAATGCTGGATTCCCATAGGAATGGCAACTTGCCTGTGTTTGTCCCCCATCCTGTCACCCTCTGGCAGGGCAGTGCAGTGACCTGTGCCTCTTTGCCCACCCACACAGTTCCGTCAGTGCCGTTAGATCCGATATCTGTTTCCAACTCTTCATCCCAAATCATCCTGAAGTGGAAACCACCCTCAGAGCCCAACGGGAACATCACGCACTACCTGGTGTACTGGCAGCAGCAGGCAGAGGACAGTGAGCTTTATGAACTTGATTACTGCTTGAAAGGTGAGTGGCTGCTTCTCTCTCTGGGCCTTTCCTTCAGTCTCTCTCAGAATTCCCTGGAGTGTTTGCCTTGGAGATGCTCTGGGGGCCCAGTTCTGCTGTTTTCAAGGATGTTGTTCAAGAAACATGCTGAGATGCAGCTGTGTCCTCCCCCTGTTCATTATACATTAGGTGCTACTGCCAAGGTATGTGCAAAAGGTCTCCAAAAACATTTCTTATGGAGTAATCAGACATTCTTTTTCCTTTGGGGATCTCCCTGCTGCCCTTGTTCTTTTTAAACTGAGTTACAAGTTTAACAACGGCTATGGAGATGGTAAAGTTAAAAACTTCAGTGCTTCTGGAGCTCAGGGCCAAGTTAATTTTTGAAGGTATCTTGTGCCTGGTTTGGGATTCCTTGAGAACACAGAGTTTCACTGAGGACTCCCAAAATCTTACCTGCTGCCCTGCGTTACCTAAACTGGGATGAACTGGGATAGAACTCACAGACTACAGCAGCATCTGAGCTTTGTTTCAAAAAATATTTTTGAATCAAAGGCCTATCAGAAAAGAGAGAACTGCTCAGCCCTGGATGTGAAAGCTCAGGACGCCCCAATGTGCCATGAATCCTGTGCACACTGGTTTGGGTTCTTTGTAGGGTTGAACATCTGCCAAGCTAAGCATGAGTGACACTAAAACTCTTTTGTCCACAGGATTAAAACTTCCCTCAAGGACCTGGTCTCCTCCTTTTGAATCTGAAGACCCTCAGAAGTATAATCAGAGTGAAAATGAGGATGTCAGTGGGGAATGTTGTTCCTGCCCGAAGACAGACTCCCAGATACAGAAGGAGCTGGAGGAATCTGCTTTCCGCAAGACATTTGAGAACTACCTTCACAACGAGGTTTTTGTGCCAAGGTAGGACCATCAAACAGTGCTCATGTGGTCAGGGGGAGGGATCTGTGATTGACTGATTATTAAACACAATTATTAGGTTGGATGTGGTCATGTGGCCGGTCTCTGGGCTTCCATGGACCTGTCTACTCCAGCTGGATATGGGTGTTGGAATGGGGACAGCTGAGCACCTACACTGATGTTTCTGCAAATTGGGAAGATCCTGCTTTTATTTCTTGTCTCTGAATCCTCCTCAGCTTGAGAATAAAGTGAGAATCCTTAACAAACAGCTGAATGCCTGCAGCAAATTGAAACTTGGATGATGCCAAAAATAGCGATTTTGTTTTTCTGTCAAAAAATGTTGTGGTCAAGTTTTTCATTGAGTTGAAAAGAAAGGAAAAGGGCAGTTTACGAGGCCATAGCCTCGTCCTTCAGCATGGTATTTGTGGTCTTCCTTGCACTTAGTGTGGGAAATACCTCCAATACCATGAGGAATGTGAGTGCTGTGGGTGGTGAATGTCCTGTTTTGAGTGGCACACGCAGTGTCACATTAAGTGGTGTTGAATGTCTTCACACTTCATATGCAGCTCAGGGAGGAAGTGCTGGGAAGCAGGTTAGAATCCATGATGATTTACCCTCTTCCCTGTCATGCATTTTGTGCTCTAAATTTATTCCCAGCTTGCTGCCCTGAGCTAACAAACCTTTATTTGCAGCTCCTTGGCAGAAGCTGTGTTGCTGCACTGAACATTTTCTTTTTTGAATACACTGAATGCGTTACTGGGGTGTTCCCTGTGAGGCTGCTCTGGTGCCTTGGGCTGAGTCCCTCCTTTTGCCATTCCCTGGCTGTTGGTGCCCATCAGGACAAGTTTCACTGTGCCAAAGGATGCCAGGACATGATGTATTCTGAGGCAGAGGAGAGTCCAAGCCATGTGCAAAAGCCAACCTCCTCCTGATGCAGGCAGACAATTCTGACAATCTGATTTCTTTTTTATTTCCTTTTTTTCCCAATTTTATTGTGCAGCCAGCCCAGGATGCTTCTCAGGCCAGTTTCTGGGGTATGTATTTTAGGAAGAAACCAATCCACCAGGATGTACCACCTTGTCAGCCTGCTAAGAAACAAATCTCCACATCCCTAGGCTTGGCTAATCCTTTAAAACAAGCTCTTTTGCTGTTAAAAGTCCGTGGTAAAGATACCTCCCTGCTGCCATGTGTCCTGCTTGTCTTCCCCAGCAGCTCCAGGCTGTTGTCATGTAAATCAGAATTATTTTTCCTATGAATACTGTGCTATCACCTGCTCACAAAGCCTGGCAAGGAGTGTGGTTTACTTAAGATGCTTTTTTGTGGCTCCCGAGAGTTCATTGACCTCTCTCGAGGTGCTGTGTGGCCTCTCCTGGAGAGAAGAAACCTGCCAGTCACGGGAGGGATCTCAGGGGTGAAGCCAGCAGGGAATATGAGATGGCAGGGGGGCAGAATCAGAGCAGTTTCTCCCTGGTGCCTTGTCTCCTTGTTTTCCATGTGCCATTTCTCTCCTCCTGTCCTGCTCCCAGCCATCTGATCCCTCTGCAGGATCCAGCCTGTACATGGCTCTGCCCTGCTCTGCTTAGTCTGGGGCTGATCTCACCCTTCTGGAAATCAGAAACTGTTCCTTCCCCCTGTGCACATTTATTACCAGGATACACTATCACTCTTGTGGGTCAGTTTGCTCTGGCACTGACAAGACAAACCAGAGATTTTGAGATGTTTCTGGCAGAGCTGGCAGGTGTTTTCACACCAGCTGCTCTGTGACTTCCCTTTGGAGCTGAGCAAAGGGACCATCAGAAGCTGATGGTTTGCTTCTTCTTTCCTGTTTTATTTGCTCTTATTTTGGAAGAGTTTTGCACAGATTGGATGGTTACACACTGGAACAGGCTGCCCAGGGAGGTGTGGAGTCTCCATCCCTGGAGATACTCAAACATGGTCCTGAGCAACCTGCTGCAGCTGCCCCTGCTTTGGGCAAGAGGTGCCTTCCAGCCTCACCTGCTCCATGATTCTGTGGAAAGCATGGAAAGATTTCAAAAGTAAGAAAAGTCCTGAGAAGCAAAAGGGAACTAAACGGGAACTGTTTAGGATGTCATTCCATGTATTCTCTCCATTACTGCAAAAAGAGAAAGAGCAGACTCACTGTTCTGTCTCTGTGTCACACACACTCGTGCCATTCTCAGTATTCCTGGGTTACAGAGTGAGTAAGATCTGGGAAATTACTCACATTGAAAGTAATTTCCCCCCCCCAGGTTTCCCAGTTCAATTAATTAATTGTGCACACAAATATGAACTGGTTTTACCAGCACAGGAGGGAAGCCAGGCCAGGTGTCCCAGGCTAGTTTCAGGTGGAAAAGCTTAGCTTAAGGTACTTAAGGCATTTTTAGAATCCTCCAACACAGGCCATATTGCATGTGATGACTTGTCGCTTCCAGCCTCTGTGAGCCCCATACTCGTTGTCTGTGACAGCAGGAGATCTCAGCCTGGATCTGAGGATTTCACAGGGAAGGTCACTGGAGCTGCTGAAATAGCTCTAATGCAAATTGCACTGGATAACTCTGAGAAGAATCAGATGTTTGAAAATACAGAGAATTTGGCAAGAAAATTGCTGCAAATACAGGATAATAAATATGGGAAGATTGGGGTTTTACACCTTCACAAGTATTTCTTGCTTTCTGTGACTTGGGAAGGAAGGAATTCTTGCATTTTACTCTGTGTTTCATCAGTGGTCAAATTACTGTTTTACTTGTGAAAAGCAAAATTCCCTTAAACACGAGGACCAGCTGAATCCACACTTTGTAAACAGCGGGTGTAGCTTTGCTTTTATGCAAACAAGGCTCTGGTTGACCATAAGGAATCCTTCCCAAAGAGGGAGGTGACATGACCCAGAGCTGGGTCTCTGAACTCTGCCCCCTCCTGAGGGGACACTGCTCAGAACAATGCACAGGCTGAGGGAACAGCAGCTCCAAAGGGAGTTAATTAGTAATTAAGAAAGAGAAAACTATAAACTGGAATGTGCTCACTGAACCTGCCGTTTGGCATCCAGAAATTTCTCCCTGTGAGGGGGGTGAGGCCCTGGCACAGGTTGCCCAGAGAAGCTGTGGCTGCCTCTGGATGCCTGGAAGTGTCCAAGGCCAGATTGGACGGGGCTTGGAGCAACCTGGGATAGGGGAAGGTGTCCCTGCCCATGGCTGGAATTGGCTGATCATTGCCTGGTAGTCAGAGGGTGGCAGTGGAAAGTTCAGTTCAGCAGCTTCAACAGCTTGTTACATTTTTAGAGACTGGAGATGCCTCAAGTGTGGGTTCAGTTCAGGTCACTTTTTGTACCCTTTAATAGCTGCACACACATAAAAAGATCATCACCCCCCTTAAAATACATAGTCTGGATTTCAATGGTGTTAATTCCTTTTGTGTAACTGAATACAGTTACTGACTCACCATGTGTTGGTTCCAAACCTGGAATTCCCCGTGGCAAATGTGTGGCAGGACATAAAGTGTTAGAAGGAGTAGTTCTGGTTTAGTACTGCTCCCTTCTTTTTCTTTTTTGCCAAGAAAATGAAATTTGTGAATGGCTCTTAATTTTCTTGAGTTTATTCTATTTATTTCTGATAAAACCTGACATTAAAGCTGACTGGTGGCACTCACCTGCAGACAGGGCAGGTGACAGGGTCACACTGCTGGTGCTGGTGTTACAACTGCAAAAAATTGATTTTCAGACTGAAATGCAATAATTTGAGAAGCAACATTTGGTTAACAAAACCACACAGCTAATTTGTAATCGGTCATGAGTTTTAAATGCATCTGTTGAAAAGGACTTAATAGATTTGTTCTCTTAAGAAAAGCTAAAACTGATTCATGTATCCACTGAGGTTCAGCCATAGGGTTCAGAGTGGCAAATGTATTCCAAAGTGGCAAAGTTAGATCCAGCTGAGAGATCCAGAAGAACTGGAATTCTCAAGCAAATGCTTGAGACTCAAATTGATTTATTTTTATTTCCCTGTATGAAGTTGTGCAAGGAGAGAGTCTCATAGATACAGAATTTTAAAAAGACAGATTGCTTGGCTAAAAAAAATAATCCTGAATTTCTTTGTTGTAAATATGAGGCTTTGAGTTTTCTGTAGCACCCTGAGCTCTCTCATTTTAACTCTTCCGTTTCAGGTGAATGTGTTCCCATTGAATGTAACCAATAACATGGTGACCTGTGTTGTTTAACAGGCCATCAAGAAAACGGAGAGACCTCGCCTCTGTGGCAAACGCCACCGTGGTGATCCCCACCATCCCAGTCTCTCCCAACAACTCTGCAGCAGCAGCTGAGGGTGCAGAGGAGCAGAAACCTTTTGAGAAAGTCCTGTCCAAGGAGTCCCTGGTGATCTCGGGGCTGCGCCATTTCACCGGATACCGCATCGAGCTCCACGCCTGCAACCACGATGCTCAGGAGTCCCGGTGCAGCGTAGCAGCCTATGTCAGTGCCAGGACCATGCCAGAAGGTAAGGATCTCCCTGAGCTCTGTTTTGGGTTGGTGGCTGTTCCCAAAATGCTGCTTTTCCCATGGGAGCCAGCTGCCATATAGAGAAATTGCATAGAACCAGGGCCATCCTTGAGTCCTGATGGGAAAGGATGATGGATGAGGTTGGCAGGCTTGAATTTTGCCAAAGGTGTGAAATAAAACTTATTAATCATGAACTTGGTTCTAGCTAAGGCTGATGACATCGTTGGTCCAGTTTCCCATGAAGTGGTTGAAAAGAACACGGTGCATTTGAGGTGGCAGGAGCCAAAGGAGCCCAACGGCCTGATTGTGCTGTACGAGGTGAACTACGGACGGCTCGGGGAGACAGAGGTGAGAGTTTCTGCTTCTCCACAGCACCTCTGGAGAAGTGACTCCACCTGAAAGCCCAGGGCTGTTTAGGATTTAATAGTCCTGGTGCATACAGTGCCCTGTCCAGTCTAGTTTCCTGGTGCAGGAACCAATGGGACACAAAACTTCACTGTTGAATTTGTCTCCTCTGGAAATCTGTCTGGAATAACATCAAGAAATAATCTACCCCTGTGGTGTCCATTTGCCAAACAAGTTTAGCTGATTTTCCAACTTTCTGTATGGAATTTTTTAGAAATGTTATTGCTCTGTCTCAGGTGAAAGGACGAGAGGAAATGGCCTTAAGTTGCACCAGGGGAGGTTCAGATTAGATATTAGAAAAAAATCTTTTATAGAAAGAGTGGTCAGGCATTGAAACAAGTTGCCCAGGGAGGTGGTAGAGTCACCACCTCTGGAGGTATCTGGATGTGGCACTTGGGGACATGGTTTAGGGTTGATGATGACAGTGCTGGGTTGATGGTTGGACTTGATGACCTTGAAGGTCTCTTCCAACCTTGATATTTCTGTGATTCTGTGGCATTTAAGTTGCTTAAAGAAATTAGGAAAGCATTGAGCAGTCCACAAGCTTGTGGGAGTGCTGGTGCCTGGACAGGTGTCAGTGCCAGGGGGACAGTGCTGGTGTCAGTGCCAGGGAGAGAGCAGGACTCTCAGGTTCAGATCCAATTTCAGGGCTGAAGGCTGGTACAGCACATGGCTCTTATTCTCTGTAACATGAACTACTGCTCTGTAAAACACAAATCCAGCACAAAGCACTAAACTAGAGCAGCCCTGAGTCTGTGTGTTTGCCAACCAGAGAGGTGCTCCAAGAACCCCAGGGAGCTGTCACGGAGCTCTGGATGCTGCAGGAGCCCCAGTGGGCTTGTCAGGGAGCTCTGGATGCTGCAGGAACCCCAGGGAGCTGCCAGATGCTGCAGAGGGAGGGTGACACAGCTTCCTCCCCCTGCAGGAAGCCCATTTTTGTGTGTCTCGAAAGCACTTTGCCACCGAGCACGGCTGCAAACTCCGAGGACTTCAGCCTGGGAACTACAGTGTCCGGATCCGGGCGACCTCCCTGGCTGGAAATGGCTCGTGGACAGAACCCACCTATTTTTACGTGGCTGATTATCGTGAGTTCATTTTATTTTCAACCTCGGGGGTTTTTTGAAGAATGGGGTTTAGCAAGCAGCGCACAGAGAACTACAGGGAGTCATTAAGTATTTACCAAAGTATCTGCTTTCAAGAACCTGGAATTACTTGGAAACATGGCTTTTCTTCATGCGTTCTCGTTCTGACCAGCCCCACCATATTCTGAAATAGCTCTAGTTTTGTATTTGTCACATTTATTGTATTGAGGAAAAAACTTGGATTTTGGACCTTTGTAATGCCTCCAACTCTCTCTTTCTTTCTTAGTGAATTCTCAGCCTAATATTGCTGTTATAATCGTTCCTATTATTTTTGCCATAATAATTGCTGGAATTATTGGAGCTGCTTACGTGCTTGTGAAAAAGAGGTGAGTGCAATTTCATCTTGCTTTCACCAGAGCAACCAAAACTTACATCCAGAAGTTTTGTTGATTTGCTAGGAGTCAGTTTTTGTTTATTTTCTAATTTCCTTAATGATTGGAACATTAATTTAGCGTAGGAAATACTTTGTGCCTTTGGAAATGGGGAGAGTTTGTGTTTGCTGCATGATTTGGGAGCTTATCAAACTGCCTTCACCTGGAGTGTGTCAAAGGCTGCAAATGTACTGAAGAACTTGTGTCCTTTCCAGACAAACTGAAGGACCAACCGGACCCCTGTATGCATCCTCCAACCCTGAATACATCAGCGCCAGTGATGGTGAGAGTAACCAGGGCTTCCTGCAGGGATTGTTTTTTTCCAGTCAGTGCAGCAGGATGGGATTGGAATTGTCTTCATGGGGTTTTCTAGTCTTTTTTTAAAAGTTATACCCATAGTGTCCTGTGGCAGAGGGCAGCAAAGATGGGGAAGGGCCTTGAGGACACTGTGAGGGCACTGAGGGCACTTGGTGTGTTCAGCTGGAGAAGGCAAGACTGAGGGGAGACCTCACTGCAGTTACAACTTCCTTGGGAGGGGAAGAGGAGGGGCAGGCCCTGAGCTCTGCTCTGTGGGGACCAGGGACAGGACCCAGGGAATGGTCTGAAGTTGTGTCAGGGTTGGATATTAGAAAAAGGTTCTTCCCCCTGAGGGTGGTTGGGCATTGACCAGGCTCCCCAGGGCAGTGGGCACAGCACCAAGGCTGACAGAGCTCAAGGAGCCTTTGGATGATCCTCTCAGGCACAGGGTGTGACTCTTGGGGATGATCCTGTGCAGGGCTGAGGGTTGGATGGGATGATTCTTGTGGGTTTCTTCCAACTCAGTATGTTCTGGGATTCTGTAATCTAAGCTGCCACAGGAGCATCTTTCACAAGGTACTTGCTCAGTTCAGAAATGTTCCCCTCTGCTGCAGTTTATGTCCCTGACGAATGGGAGGTTCCACGGGACAAGATCACTCTCCTCCGAGAGCTGGGACAGGGCTCCTTTGGAATGGTGTACGAAGGAATTGCCAAGGACATAGTGAAGGGAGAGCCCGAGACCCGCGTGGCCGTGAAGACGGTGAACGAGTCCGCGAGTCTGCGCGAGCGCATCGAGTTCCTCAACGAAGCCTCTGTGATGAAAGGCTTCAGCTGCCATCATGTGGTAAGTGCTGGGTGCCTCGGCTCGTTAACACATCCCATCACACAGCTCGTCATTCTTTCAGAGCCTGACTCTCAGCTCCCCAAAGCAGCAGAGATCAAACAGAGCTGGGATCTTTCCCTGTCAGGTTCTGCAGAACACATCTGCCCAAGTCTGCTCTTTCTCAGCTCTGTTTCAGGGGGTCTTGGCCTTGTCCGGTGTGTTTAAACACAGTCTTGAGGGAGTTTCTCCCTTATTTTCCAGGTTTGCCTTCTCGGGGTGGTCTCAAAGGGACAACCCACCCTGGTGGTCATGGAGCTGATGGCACACGGGGACCTGAAAAGTTACCTCCGCTCTCTGAGACCTGAAGCTGAGGTAAAGACAGGAGAGAGGGGTCTGTTTTGCAAGAGTGACCTGATTTCAGGTTTAATACTTCTTTATTAAATGGCTTTAAGCTGAAAGAGGGTAGGTTTGATTGGATATTGGGAAGAAATTCTTCCCTGTGATGGTGGGGAGGCCCTGGCACAGGTTGCCCAGAGAAGCTGTGGCTGCCCCATCCCTGGAAGTGTCCAAGGCCAGGTGTGACAAGGCTTGGAGCAACCTGGGCTAGTGGAAGGTGTCCCTGCCCACGGCAGGGGAGTGGAACTGGATGATCTTTGAGGTCCCTTCCAACCCAAACCATTCTGTGATTCTGCAATTGATTTCTTGTAGAACAACCCTGGTCGTCCGCCCCCGACACTGAGGGAGATGATCCAGATGGCTGCAGAGATTGCAGATGGCATGGCCTACCTGAATGCCAAGAAGTTTGTTCACAGGGATCTGGCAGCTCGGAACTGTATGGTCGCAGAGGACTTCACTGTGAAAATCGGAGGTGGGTAGTGCAGGATTATAGATGATGTCTAAGGTCCCTTCCAACCCAGGCCATTTTGTGATTCTGTGATCACCAGATGATTCTGTGCATCACATTTGCTGAGAAGGCAAATAGATGAAGTCCAAAACCAGTGTGGCAAACTTGGGTGATTCTCGCTGGCCACCTTTGCAGCACTTTCTCTTTTTCTTCTCCTTGACAGAATTGAATGGATTTCAGTGAGAAAAATATCTTCTGCAGAACCAGAGCAGCTTTTCTCTGGGTGGTGAGGCCCTGGCACAGCTTTCCCAGTGAAGCTGTGGCTGCCCCACCCCTGGAAGTGTCCAAGGCTAGGTTGGATGGGGCTTGGGATAGCAGGGGGTGGGACTGGATGAGCTTTAAGGTCCCTTCCAACCCAAACCATTCCATGATTCTATGACATGAACCAGCCTGTTTCACTAGAAGGGAAATTAAACCAATCTGGCCCTTAAATCATGATTGCAGATTCAAGAGAAGGAAGTACAATTCATTATTCCCAAACCTCTATCCAAAAGCTGCCTGGATTTATCTCACTGGTCTTTGCTTCCATGAGAATTATGACAAAGAAAGTGTTTGGTACAACAAACACAGTGTCGATAATCCCATCATTAGGTCAAGTGACTTTTAAAAGTCATTTGTCTTCCACAAGAAAGGTTTTTAACCCAAACCCTTGTGGAAATAAATAAATATAACATTTAAAAATAACCCAAAACCCCACAGTGTGGTGGTTTTTCAGAGCTCTCTGGAGGTAAAGCTAAGGCAGTGGGATTTCAGGCAAAGGGAGCTCTTTTTTTCCTTGCAGAGGACAAATAATATAATGTTTAGAATAGAAACTGTCACTGAAAATTTTAACTCTGGAGTCTCTGTAGAAAAAATGCAGGGAAGGGGAAATATTTTGAACATTAATCACAAGGTGCCAGATGACTGTAGGCAGGGCCGTGGGGGGAGTTTCACCGGGTATGCGAGAACAGGGAAGGAAACATCCATCTGGATATGAGAAAAGCAGGATGGAGGGAGCTATTTAACACAACCCAATTGCTTTTCCCAGACTTTGGGATGACCAGAGACATCTATGAGACGGATTATTACCGTAAGGGAGGCAAAGGGCTGCTACCTGTGCGCTGGATGGCCCCCGAGTCACTGAAGGATGGGGTTTTCACCACCTATTCTGACGTGTGGTAAGTTGTGTGCTGCAATCCCAGATGGATTCCAGCTCAGGGGCTCACTCTTTTTAACACACATAGTTTAAACTGACTTGTTCAGAGCACAGACAAAACAAAGCCGTTGTTTTGAAACCCTCTTGTTAAAAATATAGCGCTTTTGAAGTTTGTGTTCTCCAAAATAACTCTGTCGCTTGGAGAGCTCCGGGATGTTCTGTTCTCACCAGGAGTCTTCTTTCTTTCTCAGGTCATTTGGTGTGGTCCTTTGGGAAATAAGCAGTTTGGCAGAGCAGCCATACCAGGGACTCTCCAACGAACAGGTGCTAAAGTTTGTCATGGATGGAGGATACCTGGATCAGCCAGACAACTGCCCGGAGAGGCTGTAAGTGCTGAACCAGGAACAGTCAGCGAGGCTACACTCCTGGGCCAAAGTGTGGCCAACAGAGATGGCCCCACCTGTGGTACCTCTTAACCCCTCCTTGACTGGGGAGGAGCAATATAGACTTTAGGGGAGGCACTGCCCACAGAAATTCCACTGACAGGGATTACACAGGGTGGGGAGGCCCTGGCACAGGTTGCCCAGAGAAGCTGTGGCTGCCCCATCCCTGGAAGTGTCCAAACCCAGGTTGGACAGGGCTCAGAACAACCTGGTCCGTTGGAAGGTGTCCCAGCCCATGGCAGGGGGGTGGAATGAGGTGGTCTTTAAGGTCCTTTCCAACCCAAACCATTCTAGGATTCCATGATTCTGTGACGTGAGCCAGTGTGTTTCAATGGCAGGGAAATTAAAACAGCCAAGGCCTTGCATTGTGAGTGCAGATGCAAGAGAACGAAGTACAAAGCAGAGGAAAAACTTAAAATACAGATAAGCATTGGGTCAATGGCCCAAAGAAAATGTTCTTCCTCCACTCCATGCCGGTGGATGGCAGTTGGCTCATGTCACGTGGCAGTGGTGGCCACCACCTTCATTCAGGTGGCTACAGAGGCCAGAGAGGAGCTTCTCCTTTCTCCAAGGTCTGGTGAGGTTTTCTGTGATTCTCTCCATAAATAGTGTGGAGAATTACAACTTTTTGCCACTGATTTTCACAAATGCGTTTTGTGGCTAATGAGGAGGAGAAGCAGGGGAATGCTGTGCTGAGCCATGAGCTTATTTATCCTGCCTGAAGCCATTTCATTTCTCATTGCTGCATTGAAGGGATGAGGCCAGGCTGCCTGCAAGGTCAGGGAGAAGAGATCACTGAGGGAGGCAGTGAAAAACACCTCAAAGAGGTTACAGACTGCAGCCAGACATTCCCTGTGTCGAGGTCAAGGGTTGTTCTTTGCAGCTGCTCATGATCTTTGCTGTCTGGAGGTTCCTGCATCCCAGGTCTGCCGGCACGGCCCAGGAACTCCCTGAATGGCTGCTCTCAGAGTAATTAAAAAAATCCCCTTAATGAGCATTTAACCTGAGCTAGGGCATTTGGAAAGAAGGGTGTGTCAAAAATAGTGTGGCAGCAGGACCAGGGCAGTGGTTGTCCCTCTGTACTGAGCACTGGGGAGACCACACCTCGAGTGCTGTGTCCAGTTCTGGGCCCCTCACCCTAAGAAAGACATAGAGGGGCTGGAGTGAGTCCAGGGAAGGGAATGGAGCTGGAGAAGGGGCTAGAGCACCAGGAGCAGCTGGGGGGGCTCAGCCTGGAGAAAAGGAGGCTTGGGGAGGACCTGGCTCTGCAACTCCCTGACAGGAGGGGGGAGCCGGCAGAGGTGGTGGTAGTTGGGCAAGAGGAAATGGCCTCAAGCTGTGCCAGGGGAGGGGCAGGTTGGACATCAGAAATTATTTCCTCATGGCAAGGGTGCTCAGGCATTGGAAGGGACTTCCCAGGGAGGTGGTGGAGTCCTCATTCCTGGAGGTGTCCAGAGAAGGACTGGATGTGGCACTAAGTGCTCTCAGCTGGGTGACAAGGTGGGCATTGGGTACAGGTTGGACTTGATGATCTCAGAGGTCTTTTCCAACCTAAACGATCCTGGGATTCTGTGTAAGGAGTCACACTGGAGCAGTGGTGAGGGGAAGTAGCCTTGGCTGGAAAAGAGAGTACAGATGGTAACTCGCTGGTTCTGGTAACCTCTTCCCACATCTGCTTCTGGCCAAAACAGCACTTCCAGAGTCATAAAATAAACATGTTTTGTGAGTATCCCTATGAAAAAAGCCTGCTGTGCTGGACATCTGTCTCATGGCCAGTTACAAACTCCAGTTTGAAATTCTATTTGTATTTGTAAGTTCTTTCTCCATGGTGTCTGATAACATGTGACCTCTTGCTGCAGCCTTTCTTTTGGGTGGGATGTTTACAGCACGTCTGTCCTCTGCCCAGCCTCTTATTTTCCTTGAAATTTTAGGAGCTTTGTTGTCTTTCAGGCTGAGTTAAAATTAAAATAGAATTAATTAAAAAGCTATGACCTGGCTGTAAGGGCATGCACATGCACACACACAGAGTCTGTGAACCACAGCCCTGTTTCCTTCGGAAGCCAAGTTAAGAACAATTGAAGGAATTGGAAGGAATTTTTGATCTAGACAGAAACAAAGAAAAAGGACTGTCAGGATCTACAGGCAGTGTAGAGGCTGGAAAGAAAACAAACAGCTCGGGGTGTCAGAGGGTGGGTGGTCTGCCATGGATACCAGCCTTGGTTGGTACATGGAATTGTCACTTCCTACCCCTGACTCTGGTTCTCCTGCTCCAGGCACAACCTGATGCAGATGTGCTGGCAGTACAACCCGAAAATGCGGCCCACCTTCATCGAGATCATCGAGATGCTGAAGGAGGACTTGCACCCCAGCTTCCACGAGGTCTCCTTCTTCTACAGCGAGGAAAACAAACCTCTGGAGACGGAGGAGTACGAGATGGACTTTGAGAACATGGAGAGCATTCCCCTTGACCCCTCCTCGTACTCCCAGAGGGACAAAGCGCTGGGGAGGGACAATGGACCCTCCATGGCCCTCAAGGGGAACTATGAGGAGCACATACCTTACACTCACATGAACGGTGGCAAGAAAAACGGGCGGATTCTCTCTATGCCCAGGTCAAGTCCTTCCTAACACTTCCTGTTGGGCCCCAGGGTTCTGTCTGCTTTTCCCCCCCCTCCACAAATCTCAGGACTCTTGTTATTGCTGCCACAGTGTATGACACACATCTACAAACTCTTCAGATTTTTAATATTTTATTTTTTTTTTTTTTGCCAAGTTGACTGGTTGTCAGTGGACTTATCTGTGAACATAAATGGAAGAGGTTTCCATGGCTGCTGTCCCTTCTGTAACCATGGTTTCACAACAGGAAGCAACTGTGTGAGCTAAACTGAAGGAGAAGCATCTGCATTTGCCAATAGAAGACGTGAAGCTTGCTGGTGTCTGAGCTACAGCCTCACAGTGTGGAACAAACCTTCTGCAGGACAAAAGCATTTCCAGTAGAATTCCAGGCTTTCAGGCAGACTCTCCGCTACAGCTGAAGGATTCAACACCTCAGTCGGATGCGCCAGATCCTCAGATTGACCAATAGCTGCTGCTTTCATCCTTTTTCAAGGGGTTAAGTCCCAGGGGTGCGTGCGTGGGCGTGTGTGCAGTATATCTGTGTGGGGTGGAACCTATAGCAAAATAGACACTTCTGGTTTTGTACACAAGTGACAATGCTTTCAGGCACATGGTGGGACTCTTGGGGTATCCTGCACAGGGTCAGGAGTTGGACTCAATGATCCTGAAGGGTCCCTTCCAACTCAGTTGTTCTGTGTTCTCACAGGAGCTTTCCTCTTCTCGGAAGTGTGTACTTATCTTTTTTCCCGTTTCCCTGGAGGGACTGAATCCTAAACAGATTATTTTTATACCGAGGACTCTTGGGAGTAGGTTTTCTCTCATTCACGAATGAAGAAAACGTGCTGGGAGCCAAAGGAGCAGAAATCTGAGATTTGTGGGTACTTTTAAGACCAAACGGAGTAGGAGTCCCCTGACCTGAGACACGGAGTTTTCTGTCCTTACAGCATTGAGTATATATATTGTTTGTTGTAACATATTTAAAGATGTCTTTAGTTTAAATCTTAACTTCATATAAATTATTGACTGTTTATGATCCTTTCGAGGAAGGGAGAGTTTGGGGGATTGTTTGGTCTTAAAGTGGTCCAAAGATTTCAGAACGAACTAATTTTAGCCTCGGAGGAGCGATGAAGCACATGTTAAGTTCATACTTGACAAGGCTTTGTAATAGTTCCGTGATTTATACAACGCAGTCAGCTGGCTCCAGTCGAAGCCTGAATTTGGGCATTGGGAGCTGAAGGACACCAGAACATCCCAGCCCTGATCCTGCTCCTCCCTCGCTTTGCCTTCTGTGCCACAGATGGAGCTGGCAGGAGAGGACAAGCACGAACTGCAGCCGAGAAAGGGACACAATGTGAAGGGGGGAGCACAAGGCTCTGGGCTCTGCACATGTAGCAGAAGCTGGAAGTGACTGTGGTTTGCTGCCTGTCCGTGCTTGCAGGTGTCCAGCTTTGTGTTCCCTGAGATCTCTGCTGCAGAATTCCTGGGATGCAGCATTTCGGCTCTTTGGGATGTCAGCTTTGGCCTTCTGGACTGTGCTTTGTTGTGCTGTTGTTTGCATAAAGGCAAAGGTGATTGATTAGCAAACTATGTTAGAGGATAATTGTGGAACTACATGTGTCTCGTGGTGTGGAGGGAGCGAGTCCAGCTGGAGAAGGGCGGAAGCAGGAGATGAAGATGATGATGATGATGGATGTTGCAGGCCCGTGTCAGACAGGAGATGATTTAAAAGCGGGGAGAGATGCTCAGTCCTCCACTTCTCCACTTCTGGAGAAGTCCAAGACCCATTTTGTGCTCTCTGCCAGGAGAAAATGAGGCGCCCTGGCCTGGGGAGAGCAGGGAAGCTTAGCTGGTGTGTGGGTTTTGATTCCAGCCCAGGCAGAGCTGTTGTTGTAAGCCAAGGAGAGGGGCTGCTGGAATGCCTAGGGAAGCACCTCTCCCAGCCCACACCGGTGGGCGCAGCCTCGAGGGGCAATGACGGACTCTGGGCCCTTTGTCAGGCCCTTTGCTGCTGGAGGCTGCTCAGTGCAGACCCAGGTGGAGGGCACAGCTTGCTCAAAAATTTTGGGTGGAAAACACAGTCCAGACATGGGTGAGAACCTCTGGATTTCAAAAGGCCTTGTTTACATTTCTTCTGCTTTACAAAGTCGTAACTGTTTAGCAGCTCTATACTACACTGCAGGAAAGAAGACATATTCTCACACTTTTCTAAGGAAGAGAAGCTTTTCTTATTAGAATTTTTTTATTTATTTTAATATATAAAACACTGTAAAAAAAAAAGCAACAAACAATTTGTTTTCTTAAACACACAGAACATGTAAATTTGTATCCGTAAAATCTTGGCAGGTGGATGTGGTGGGATTATTTTTGTCCTGTTCTGGTGCAGTCTACCTCAGTGTTTCTTAAGGATATTTTTAATACTACGCACCTCTAAACCTGTTTAAATATTTTGGTCTGGACCTATTGTGGATCAGGGAAAATCAGTATCAGCTGATTCCAATACCAGGGACCATTCATGAAGGGAATGGGAAAGAGAACAGTTCGTCACTGTTGATCCCTAATCTGAGCAGTAGTGACAATGAACCCATTTTCAAATTTGGATCTGATCTTGTCCTATTAGTTCTGTTGTGATTTTTAAAAAACAGCACAACAAAAGAGCCATTTAAATGTTTGGACTGTAGTGAACTCATGACCTGAAAGAAGCAGGCTGCTTCCTCCTGGAGCAGCATGTGCCAGCATGGAGTGGGGACTGGGACCAGCCCTTGCTCTTGGGGTTGGATTGGGGTGTCTTGGTCCTGCTAGTGACCTCCTGAAATAAATCTTTCCCAGCACACCCTTGCTTTGATAACATTTCCAGTGGCAGTGATCATAACTGTGGAAAGAGAAGCTCTTTTATCTAAAGGAATATTGGAACCTCGTATTGGGTCTGGCTTTTCCACGTTGTTGATACTGGTTGTCCCTGTGAGTACACATGGTTTGCAACACTCAGATCACTGAACCAGGGAGCATGTGTTGCTCCATGGAAAGAGTCCATTCCCATGGCTCATCTTCCCTCTGCACCAAACGGAGCAGTTGTTTGTACCCAGCACTGTGTGTAAAGATTCCTCTGGTCATCCTTCCTACCTTGTGCCCGGAGTGTGGAGAGGTGTGTGGTACCAGTGGGGGAGGGTGTCGTGTTTCTCCTTTTTAAAAACAAATAACACTAGTAGTTGCTGCTCGTGGCTGTTCCTGATCACACTCAGCTGTAGAATTAGGAAGAATAAAATCACCCATAAAGCCCAGCTCTCACTGCTGGAAGATCCTTACTCAGCCCACAGCCAACACTTTGGTCTCTGCAGCTGGAAGATCCTTACCCCAGGGATGCCTCAATCCTTCCTTGGATCTCACTGATTCCTGCTCAGAGACATGAGGACTTTATACAAGTGGAGACTGCATGTGCCAGATGAAAGCTCTGAGCTGTGAGCACCCCCAGCCTGGGCAGGGGCATTGGGCTGAGCCTTTCTTGGGGGGAGCTGCTGCTTTTGCTCCAGCCAGATCCTTATGGGGCGAGAATTCCCAGCTGCAGTGGAATCACAACATTCACTGCTGCTGTTCAGGAGGAGCAGGAGAGCAGGTGGGATGGCTGGAGGAGGGCAACCAGCATCAGCAAGTGGGAAGCTCTTTCTTTCCTTGCATTAGTATTTACTGGAGGGTTGGCTCCTGCCCTTTGTGTGCAGAGAACGTCTCACTCGCAGCACAAAAGACTCTTCAGCCTGTCCAGGAGCAACTGGAGCCTCCTGGACACAATCTGGCATCCCCGCATAGACAGAAATTCACTCTGTGGTGAATCATGAGGAGCAAGAAACAGCTTTCTGTGCTCTGCTGAGCTTTCACTGAGAAAATGTCTGAAGTGTGAGGCTGGAGGTTTCTCAGAAAGGTTTCCACATAAATTCAATTGCCACTTCCTGAATGACTCTTGCCAATCTGGAACTTCTCTTGCAGGCCAGTGCAGTGCTGCAAAACTTGGCTGCCAGGTTAGGAACGTGTCTGTCTTGGCTGCTTGTAAATACTCTATTGTGTTGTAAAATAGAAGAGCTAAAACTCTGTGCCAGCACTGGGTTGGGAAAAGTGATGGGAACTAGACCACACTGCAAGGATGATTGTAAAGCAGCTGTGTGGATGTGGAAGAGGCTGCTTTTAGGTTGCTAAAGGGTACTCTTAATTTATGGGTAGTTTATCTCTTTCCTCCTAAATTTGTATTATAGCGATGGGACACTTTGCTTAATTTTAGTATGTTGCATATAATGTTGGGAAACAAAAAATCTCAAAGTTGCTTCTTGTGTTACTGAGCTGACTGTGATGAAGGCAAGTAGGAAATGACAGGAGCCAGAAGGGTGCTGAGCCTCTGTTTTAGGGGAGGGAGGGAGGCAGTCAAGTTCCCTCTCAACACCACTGTGACACAGAGACAGACCCTGAGGTCCCCCAGGCCCTTCGCTGCAAGTGGCGATTCCTGCTACCAAGACTGGAACCTTGTTTTTACAAGTCAGAAAGTCAAATATCTTTGTGCCATAAAACCTTACTCTCACGGCTGTGCTAGGTGCTCCCATGATCCGTGCAGGATTGGTTCCGAGCCTGGAGTGAGCCAGGAACTGCAGATAAACCCTGTGATCTTCTTGCTGTGCCCTCGGAGGACGTGCAGGCACCCCGGTCCCTCCGAAAGAGCCCCTCCTGTGTGTGTGGTCCAGGGAAAGGAACTGTCAAATGGATTGTAATCAAGAAATAAGTTACTTCATGAAATTTGAAATAAGATTAGTTTGGTTATTTGTATGAATTTAATGGAATTTGGCCTTTTTATTACCTTCTGCTTGACTCTGTGTTCCCTCTGCTTGGATTCCGTCTGTGAGTGTCGGTGTAAGGCCTTGACGTGTTCAGCCTCGTTACAAGCATCACAAGAGTGAAGCCAATCATCCAGTTGACTTCTGGAGGAACCTGACTGTTGAAAAACAACTCTAAAGTTACCGTTTTTAGCAAATCTGCTGTCATTAAATGTGTATTTCTTTTTAAAATGAATTTGCTTGTCCTTCTTGGAAGGAAGCACTTATTCTTGCAGTTTGGGCAAATTCACTGCAGCACAATGTAAGCTGTAAGGGGACAGGTAGAGAAATGACTTTTTAAATATTGTATAATAAAGTTAGTATTAACTCCTATGGCGTTATTATTTTTTTGCCAACAGGCAATCGGCAAAAAATTCTGTTCCTGGTGGTGGTTTTTTTCCCAGTCCAGGTTCCAACTGGTGGGATTCAAATAGTTTCTTTTCTCAGCCCTGAAGGTCCCTTGGGAGCAGGTGGCTGGGAAGACTTGGGATAGTCCTGGCAGCTAAAGAGGAACCGCCAGTGGAGGTTCCCGCCAGTGGGCACAGATGCTCTTGCTTAGCTGAGCCCCGGCCCCTGGTAAGTCCCAGCAGCACCAGTAAATCTTGAGCTTAGGACTAATTACCTGAGAACTCCGAGCTGGACTCGACGCCAAAGCTCTGTTAATTCAGACTCTCCCGGAAGGATTCCAATGCTTCCACCATCTCTGCTTCCAAGGGCTTCTCCTGTGACAAAAACTGATGGAGAATTTTAGAAAGGCCACCTCTAAATCTGGAAAAGTAAGAGTGTTCTTTAAACAGGGAAAGCATTACCTTTGGCTTAAGTTTGGGGAATGATTTTATTCTTGGAGTATCAGAACTGGTTTGTGTTTTAGGACCCGCATGGATGGGGGAACTGGGCATCGGCTTCATCAAACACAGCCCAGAGCAAATGCTCTTTGCTTGCACTTAAATAAGCCACAGTTTCATGTTAAATTATATTCTGTGAGGCCTTGGGGTTTTTTTATTTTCTTTCCCAGTTTATTCTTGCTGCTTCCACCTTTCCCTCTGCATATTTAAGGTTCCAGAATACAAATACTACTGCAGATACCTCTCCTTTGAAATAAAGGATCAAATGTGCCACAATTTATTCTTTTTTAAAAAGGAAGAGAAAGGAAAACCTTCCCCCTTGATTTATTTTTTCAATCTTTTCATATCTAAGAGCCAAGCAGTGACATGTACAGAAAATATCTTTGAATATTGAGGAAAAAAATTCTTGCTGTGTCAGAGTATTGAACAATTAACTGTTTATATTAAAATTATGAATAAATTATCCGAGAATAACTGTTCCTTTTGTCTGCTGTCTGTGCAGCACCTGAAGGCTGCTTTGCCATAGGGAAAGCACTAAATTAATACCTTGGAATAAGCCCCAATAAACCCGAATAACATAGGCATGTGGTGTGAAGGCAGTGCAATTCTCCTTGATGGACCATGCCCTCATCCCAGGGTTCTCAGCAGCTTGATGCCATCGGGTGGACATTGGTACTGGGGTCCTTCTGCCTGATACATCAAGAGCTGTGGCTCTGTGATGTAATTGTTATTTTCTGTGCATGGACCAAGTCTTCCTTCCTCAGAGGGGGACAAACTCCTCACAGGCAGATTTAAAGCATAGAAGTCAGAGGATCAGCTTCACCCCCGTCCTGGGGAGGAGCTGCTGTAATGGAATGTGCACCAGGAACCTCCTGTCTCACCTCCCATCGTGCCCAGGCCCCTTCTGGTGTGTCAAATCTTTCTAATTTAGACCTGGTTTTGTTTCAACAAAGCCAAGATTTCCCTCCTGTTCAGCTGCACCAACGAGGTGAGGGACTTGCTCTTCTTATCTGCTTACTGAAGATGTCCTGCTTGCCTTCCCTTCAGTGACATCACTCAGGTGGGATTGCTGTGGCCATTTCAGCAGGAGCAGGAGCTGCTGCTGGTGCCAGCTCCTCGTGGGGCTGCCAGCCAGGTGGTGTGGTGCAGCCAAGCATCTGGTGGAGTCAATATGATGGCTTAGTATTTCCTGCCCCGTGACTCCATCCAGCCACAGTGTGGTTTGCTGAGCTCCTCCCTGACAGCTGCTCTGGCCCTGGCTCTTCCTGCCTCAGCCCTGCTCATGCTCTTTCCTTGCCCAGCCTTGGAGTCTGCTTTGGACACATGTGGAGCTCTGCTCCCTGACTTGCCCCTCAAGAGGATACAGGGAGTTGTACACCCACGCAATGAGTTGCTATAAAAGCAAGTAGCGCGATTTTGCAAAAACACTTCCATGGGTGGTGACTCCACCACCTCCCTGGGCAGCCCCTTCCAATGCCTGGCAACCCTTTCAGTGAAGAAATTTCTTCTGATGTCCAGCCTGAACCTCTCCTGGCACAGTTTGAGGCCATTTCCTCTTGTCCTGTCCCTTGTTCCCTGGGAGCAGAGCCCAACTCCCACCTGGCTTCCCCCCTCCTGTCAGGGAGTTGCAGAGAGGAGCCTCCTTTTCTCCAGGCTGAGCCCCTCCCAGCTCCCTCAGCTGCTTCTGGTGCTCCAGCCCCTTCCCCAGCTCCATTCCCTTCCCTGGACATGCTCCAGTCCCTCAATGTCCTTCTTCCAGGCCTGGAACTGGACACAGAACTCAAGGCCTCACCAGTGCCATTTCTTTACTGAGCCCATCTGGAGTTCTCTTACTGGGGGAATGACGACATCTAGTATTTTAAGATGCTTTGGAGTTGCTTCTTCTGGCACAAGCTTGTTCTCTGAGGATCCTAAAACGCAAAATTAAGCAAAGCCACAAAGCTTGAACTTGCTGTCCTGGGAGCTTTGCTGCCTGCTAGGCTCTCTAAGATGCTGTGGGGAGGCTGCTGAGGCTCAGCCAGCCCTCTTGCCCTTATCCCTTCCAGTCTGCCTGCATAGCTCAGCTTCGGCAACCCCCAAACTGTGTCAGACGTGGCTGAAGGAAAACAGCTTACCATCCCATCAGCTGGAGCAGGTGCCTGGTGTTTAGGAGCAGCCCTGATCTCTGATTCTAATCGAGCTCTTGTGGACTTCAGAGAAATTAAACCTTAATTTCTCTTTGCTCTTGTGGTTTCCTGGAGCATGGGGTAATTGCTATTCTAAGTGCTGCCAAAGCTGCGGTCTCTGAGTAATTGGAGTGTGAGTGGATCTTGTTCTGATTAGGGCTTGGCTGGGGCTGGCGAGTGCTTGGGGCTCTGGGATGAGTAGTGTGTGTGCATCAGCCACGGGGCTCATTGGGAAGGAGGGAATGGCTGTGTGGACAAACCTGAGCCTGGACCAGGGGCATCACCCCTCTGGCCCTGGAGCTGAAGTCCCTGTCTCTCACCTGCGTGGATGAATTTGGCCATCACAGGCATTTCCGTGCTTTGCTATCGTTTCATTCTCTGTAAGACTTGAGACCTGCTGGTCTTCGGGTCTCTGCTGCAGCCCAAGGTCAAACCATGACAGCAAAGACAAGGGACTCGTTCATAGGAGCCCTGTGAGGCTCAAATGGTGCAAGGAGCCCCCGGGCTGGGCTGGGTGTGTCATGCTTTCGTGGCACATGCACACACACAGAGTGGTTTTTCTCTGAAGGGAACAGGAAGCAGTTGTGGCAATAGCTGTTCCTCGCAGCCATTGCAAGTTCAGCAGCTCCCAGGGCTCCTGCTGGGTTTCTGGGGGTTTGCAACCCCCCTGGGGACTCTGCTGGACCCTCCTGGAGCCCAGACCCTCCGGAGGGTGAGAGGGATTGTTGGGGCAGCACTGGGGCCGCTGTTGTGGAAAATGCAGCGTGGGAGAGGTGGGTTTGTTTGTGCTATCAGAAAGGGGAAGCGGTGAGAAGGTTGAGCCAACAGCCCCCGTGAGCAAACCACCCTCATGGCTGCTGCTCCCCTGGTGAGGCTCCGCTTCTTGCTTTGCTCCAGCAGCTGGAGAAGCCAGGGCTGTGGGATCCAGATGTGCACAGGGAACTCACCACAGGGATTCCTCCAGCCCTCAGGGTAAGTCGCTCCCTGCACAAGCTCCATGCCACAACAATGGGGTTGTCATTCGTCTTCCTCAAGGCCTTGTGAGGAAGCAGCTTGTCCTGAAGCCAAAAGTCCCAGTGCTGGATTTTGTGCAGCCTCCCCCCTGCACAGGCTTAAGGGCACAATGTGGGCTTGGGAGTCTGAGCTCACGGGGAGCTTCACTCTGCTCAGAGTGAAGAGGAGGAGACAAGGTCTAGGAGTGAAGTGTGTCCCCATGGCTGGTTCTGGGGCAGTTCTGGGCTGGCTGGGCACCCTTCAGGTGCTGCTCTTGGCTCCTGCTGCTGCTGTGCCACAGCTGAAGGTTTGCAAAGACACCCTGGCACTGCGCACAGCTGGGTTTTGGGCTGGGTGCAAGAGGGGTCCGTGCCTGGGAGCCCCAAATTCCACTCCAAACTGCCCAGTCCAGTTACTGGGGAGATGGAAGCAGAGGGGATGTGGGGAGGGGTGTACTGATGACACTTTGGGTTTTGTGGCCAGGTGAGGGAAATGGTTTTTGCCACCTGCCTTTGCACAACACTACCCCAGCCTGGGCTCCAAGCCAGGAGGTACCTGTGGTTGTTCCCAAACTGGCTGTGCTCTGCTCAGTGAGGCCACAAGTGTCAGGTAAACAGCAGGGAGGAGGTTTGGTCTGGCCCAAGAGCCCAGCAGCTGCACTGGGATAAAACTTGACTTCTTCAGCCTAATTGAGGGATTGGGAGCAAACTTTGGAGCCAGTCTTGGCTGTGGGGATGGTGCCAGTCAGGAGCAGTGGCCTTGGAGACCTTGGAGTGGGGAGTTTGTTCTCTTGGGGCAGTTTGGAGTTGGCTGAGATTGCTCCCACCTGCCTCCCTGCATGGGAGAGCTGAGGAGGGCTTGGAGAAAGGTCCTTGCCAGGGGATGGGGACTTGCTGTGAACTGCAGGAGGATGCTGATGTTGCAGACGGACAGGGTTTCGTGTGGTCCCTTGCAAGGGTTCTACCACAGCACTTGAAACCAAGAACAAAGGTACAAATGTCAAGCCTGTGGTCTTAACTCTTACTCTGCACTGCAGGTGACTCTTACCCAGTGTCACTTCAGGTTCTGCTCTTGCCAAACGGCCTGGAAGATGGTGATTTCCCATGCTGACAGCTGACAGCCATGAATGGAGCTGGGAGGCTCTGGCAGAGGGGAAGGGGGTTGTGGTGTGCTAACAGCATGTTTTCTGTTTCAGTCTGCAAGCCTTGAGCAGTGCTTGGGGGCTGTGTGTGTTCTGGGGCTGCTGATCCCCAGGTCCAGCTGTAGGAAGTCACTGACCCATCACACAGGTAGGAACGCCAGGGACCAGGAATTTCTCCCTGGCTACAGCTTCCATCAGCTGATACTTCTGACAAAACACTTGGCTCCTCCACTCCCCCCTTGGCAGCCCCTGGGCTGCAGCCCTGCAGCGCTGCCTTAGAGCGCGCTGAGCTCTGCTGTGCTCTGTGCTGGCGTCTCCTGCTCTGGGCTGTACCCTGCACGGGGCTCCCAAATGTCAGACTCGCTGCTCAACCACTCCTGGCCATCGTTTTCCAAGCACTGGAAGAAGAGATGGTCCTTTAAGCGAGGTAATGGCCTGTGTGTGGGGAGAGTGGGCTGAGAGCGTGTTGGGAGATGGGCTGCTGCAGGATGGGAGGACAGCCTGTCCTGGGCTGAGCAGGTACCAAAGAACATTGGGGTCCCCAGGCAGAGCTTGTTTTGGGGTGCTACCCCTCCTCCCTGCAGGGGACACTGCCTAAGTGCTGGTTAATGCTTTTTGTTCCACTTCATCTTCTTTTCAAGGCACATAAATGCCTTCAGGAGCTGGGGAATGGGTTGAATATCAGCCTTCTGGTTTTGTATTAAGTTTGTTTCATGGCTGGTAGGGAGCTGGAGGTCCTGGTTCTTGCAGACAGCTGTCTCTGCACGCTGCCTGGAGAGAGCTTGGGGTTTGAGCAGATGCTGGGGAAAGATTCTTCTGGTCTTCCAGTGAGGGCTGGTGAGCACTGCCAGAGCTGTGCAGTTTGGGTGGCCCTGGCTGGGCTTCCCAGTGTCTGACAGCAGGGATGGGAAGTGACAGCAATTGAGTGAACTGACCTCATTCCTGCATGTGGTGCCATGACTTGGGAATAGGGAAGTGAGAGTCCTGACATTTGCAGTCCCAGAGAAGCTGGACACTGCTGTTCTTGCCTCCAAACACTACTTCAGGCTGACAATGTTGGGTACCTTTACCTGTGGCATTAGAGCTTCTGGCACTCTTTCTCCTCCATTATTCCTCGACCCCTCCCAGTTCTCTTCTGATGTGGATGTGCAGGAGACCAAGATCCGAACTGAACACTTGAAGGAACGTCAGTTCAGAGTAGGAGCTCTGAACATCAGTTCAGAGCAGTTCAGAGCTGGACACCCCACTTCAGCCTCCCCAGTGCCGTGCCTGCTGGAGTGGTTGTGCTCACTGGGGAGGCTCAGGTGAGCTGATTTCTCTAACAAATGAATCAGCCTCACAGTGCTCTCAAGCACTGACTGCTTTGGAGAGGACCTGGGTAGAATCAGCTCCTCTCAGCATCTGCTTTCAGAGCAGTTTGTCCCAATGGGGCTTGAGCTGTGGGCACAAAACATTGGGGTCTCACTCCAGAGTGAATCAGAGGGACTGCAAATCCCCCTCAGCCCTGCCAAGACCTTTCAGCTGAGAGTGAGCAGAAAACAGTGCTGGCTGCCTGCTCCTCAGCACCCAACAGCCAGGCCCCAGGCAGGGTGATAAGGCAGCAGTTCCCTGTACAGTGTGTTACAGTGTGGGACAGCTTATTATCCCCCTCCCCTGCCTGGGCTGCAGGAGCCAATCCCCACCACTGCCAACGAGGACAATGAGGGGCCCAGATCAGGCCAGGGTCTGCCCTTCAGCTCATTTTGGCACAGGGAGTTCAGCACTTGCTTTCCCAAGGTTTTTCCCTATGGCTCTGGACATCCTGCAACACAGTACGTGAAGGGCAGCTGGTACAGGGCCAGCAGAGCAGGGGCCAGGGGGAGATGGAATCACTTTTTTTTCTTGTCTGTGATGCTCCCCGTGGTTTCCCAACAGTCTCTACCCTGGCTGCTGGGAAATGCCCAGCCATTCTGGTCTTTCCTTCCTCCTGGGATTGTTTCACATAGCAGAACTGCCCAGTGCCTTTATCCCAATGCATTTGGTTTGGCCTTTCCCTGGTGGGAATGCAGACAATGTTTGATGTTGGAGGATGTGACTGACGTGGTGAGAGCTGCCATCCGTTTTTCCTCTGACGTGTTTCCCTGTCAGCGTCAGCCTGGCTCCAGCGTCAGCTGGGGACCTGTAGCATCCGGCACTGAGCTGGGGGCAGGTGAGGACAGGACACTGCTGGCAGAGCTCGTTCCAGTGCTGGCTGCTCTGGTGCTGTCACCTGCTGTGACACTCGTGGGTGCATCTCCAGTGACCAACCTGTCCGAGGGAAAGCAGCAGAGGTGGTAGTAGGAGGGAGGGTTTGACTATAGGTCTGAGTTGGAATTATTAAAATCTCTGCTGAGCTCCCAGCAGCCTTGCACAGAGTTATAGCCAGGGCAGCTCATCCAGCTGATCCCATTGTCCCCACAGCATCAAAACCCCCCGAGATTGTCCCAGATTGTCACATGCACTGGACACCTGTCACTGCTTCCTTCCTCCGCACACAGCAGCCCAGGGTCCTCATGTTTCACCTGTGGGAAGCTCTGGCATAGTGCAGGGACCATCCCAGCCCAGCTTCCTCCCCAGCTCTGCCCTGGGAATTCCTCTGAGGAGGCTGCTCCCTGCAGCAATAACCTTTTATGGTTCCTGGCCAGAGGCGAATTAAGCAACTGCAATACCTAATCTGCTTAATGTTCTCCTAAAGCAAACAGTATTTGTTCTTGAAAGTGTCATTTTGTCATCCCATCTAAAGCTTAAACTGAGGGAAGGTGACTGCTGCTGTCTGCCAGTGCCTGGGGGGCCAAGATTCCCCATCCCCTTATCACCATGCTGGACATGGATCCTTCCAAACAGGCTTGAGTGCATGGTCCAAGAGACTCAAGGGGCTCCAGAGTTTGCCACACTTGCTGATACTGGGTGACCACCTTGATGGTGGATATAGGGATGTTCACAGCCCCCCAAACCTGTATCCCTCCTGTGTGTGCTCCACGCTGCTCCTTCCTTGCTCACCATCCCACAACTTTCCATCACTGCCTTGCCCAAGCACCCTCACAGCTCAGCTCTGCTCCCGGTGCCAGCCTAGCATCAACTGGCTGAGACTGAGATGTGGGAGCCCAGAATTGCCGTGGCTGGTGCTCACACATTGCCTAAAATGGTCTCTCCATGGCTGCAGCCTGTGAGCTGCGTGTCTCTGCCTCACAGCCACCATGCTCCCTGGAACTGATTTATCGCGTGTTGAACCGAGTGTCTGAAGCCTCTGAGGAGGATTTAAGTCCTTCGGTGGGTCTGGAGGGGCTCTGTTGACTGCAGCCTATGCCTTTGCCCAGATCCTGAGCCTTGCATGGCACAGGCAGAGCACAGGGAATACTTTCCAGGCCTCCATGGAGCTGACTCTGTTCCAGGGATCCACTTTAGAGCTGCACAGAGCCTTGTGCAGGCCCAGAGTAGCCTTGGAGGGGTGGCCGGACCTTGAAGGGGAGGAAAAAACTCTTTGTTTTAGCTAAACCTGTAGGCCAGGGCTCTGGTCTTTGTCAGGCCACCATCCTTGTCAGCTCCAGCAGCCACATTCTTGCTGCCCCCCGGGCCTTTGCTGCTTTAACTGTGGGTAGTTCGCTGCTGAAGGAATGGCGAGAACAGGGAATCTCCTTTTTCTTCCTTCCTTGTACTTGTATGAGGGTCCTGGTCCCCCTGGGACCTTCCCCACCTCCTGGTTGCTTCCCTTGGGTCCATTCTTCCTTAGCCTTCATCCCAGCCTGTTTGGGGACTTCAGTGGCTTTCACTGCTCACTGACACTTTTAGGTGCTGTTTCCTACAAGCTCATGCCAAAACCTGTGCTGGTTTAAAGGTGCATTGACTTCAAAATGCTGATTTTTCATTACAAGCTGAATCCAGATGAATTCAAGGAAAGCAAAAGGTGATGTTCAATAACTTACTAAACCTCTGCTGTTTGCAGGTGTGGCTCAGGAACATCCTGGACAAGAATTTGTCTATTCATTAAAAATGTCTTGTGAAGTAAATTTTACAACCTTGCTAGAAAACCTGTTTCAGATTTTCCCTGCTCTTATAGCTAAAAAGCCCTTAATTAAAATAGTGCCTTCACAAAGTGTTTTCTTTCTATATTATTTATAGTCCCTCACTTGAAGCCACCACAGACATTTAAACACACCAAACGCCCCTTAAAACAGAAAATCTGGCATCTGCAGTGTGTAGTGGGATCCAAGGACCAAACATCCCAACTATTCCTCATGTTTGCTGCCTTTTTTTAGTTGGCACCACACAATTCCTGGCTGAATTGTGTAGCTTTATAACCCACAGCAGGATGCAAGATTTCCAAGAGTGTATTTCTTAACAATGTCTTCCTCACATTAATGTTTTTATACTTGGCTTTCCTCTTGTGTGAGCGATTTCTAGCAGTTTCCTGCTGGTTTTTCCCACTAGATAGATATGGCCACTTACAGTCTCTTGCTGTTGTTCTCTGCATCTTCAGAGATCCACCATAGTTCTTCAGCCAACAGCCTGGCTGTTTTCCCTTCACCTCAGCTGTGCATATCCCAAAAGAATAAAAAGACCTCAGTGAGTCACGCAATGGTTTAGAGATTGTGGCTGAGGTTTACAGTGTGTCTCGCTCCATAGGAATGTGCTTCACTCAGCTGGAAGATCTATTGTACCATGAAACACATTCAGACCATGGCTTTGTTTCTCAATGAGTTATCAGGTGGTGTACACACACTCAGGTTCACATTCCTGCGTGGGGAAAATGCACAGGAGTGAGCTGTGCTCCCACTATTGCTCTGCACATTCAGTGTTGTCTGGAGTCAATAATGTGCCTCCAATTTGCCTCCCAGTGGCATCCTTTATTCCTTAACGATGAAAAGAAAATCTCTGACAGTATTTTTATTCCTAGATTTCTGCTTCAAAGGTCCATAATATCAATAGCAACCATCAAAATGTGTTTGAGTCTTCTTTTACTGTGGAAATGGCCTCTGCAGCATAGGACATCTGACATGGGTCTGGCTGGGATGGCAAAAAAGCCTGGTCTCTGTCCTTGCACATGCTGCAGCTCAAAGGATGAGATTTCTGCTGTTACAGAATCCCTGCACCAGGATCAAGGCTGCTGTGGTCTAGAGATTGCCTGGCACTGCCGACCTTTAAGGGGCAAGGGAGCAGAACGCCCGATTGCAGCTGATTTTCCATCTCTCCCAGCTGTCTGGTTACCCGCTGTGACCTTCTCTGTCTTGCAGGGTCTGACTGCAAGCCATGTTTACGGGAATTCACTGATCACCGCACTCCTGCTTTGGAGTATCCCACCCTCAAAAGCTTCCTCCCATCCCTCATTGCTGAGGATGACTCCTTCTGCACCAACATGGCTGAAGAGAAGGCAAGTGTCTTCTTTCCTTCTGCTATTCCATGAGGCAAGAGCCAGGGTCAGCAAGCTGGCTGGTCAGCTCCACATCCAGAGGGATTTGCGACAGAGTAAGAATGGGGGAAAGGGGTACTGATCCAGATTGTCAGGGAATACAAGGTTATATTACTTCTGTCGCTGGGAAAAATCATTCCTGAGTGCTTTGTATTGGTGTTGGGGGAAATAAAGCACAGAGGGACCCTGAGATGGTGGGGCTGGTGCAGGTATGACTTTGAGAGGCAGTAAGAGAGGGGTGCTATTAGAAAATCTGATTTGAGAAACACATCTGCAAGTCTGGTCCTGCTCTGCACCTGAGTTCTGCATGGGAGGTGTCCCCTCCGCAGGATCAGTGCAAGGCTCTCAGGTGGGATTTGTTCTGCCTTTGCAGGAGGATTCATCTTCCACAGAGCTGGATGTGCCAGCAGCAGACTCGCACAGCAGCACGGAGGATCTCCTCTCAGACTCTGCTCTCCACGGCACTGAGTATTACAAAGATCTGGGGCTCCTGAGCGCGCCCATTGCCAAAACAGCTCCAGAGATGGCAGCACAGCCAGAAGAAGGATCCCAGGCCGTGCCTGTTGTTTGCTTATTGGAAGAGAGACCAGGAACTCTGAGCAAACTGTCTGTGGATGTTGCTTTCTCCAACCCCATTTCCTGCTTGATGCGTTACGGCGAGGCCAAATGCTGCTTTCTCAACAAAGGCCACGTGTGCCCCTGTGCAGCGGGGCCAGGAGATGGAACCAGCACTCCCGAGTGTCCTGCAGAGGCAGACAAGGAGCTGGACCTGCGGGAGGCCCAGGATTCCTTCCCCACACTGGTGAGATCTATGTCCACCTCTCGGAGGCACAGTTGGGAGAGGCCTTTGTCACCAGTGGACTGCAAGCGCAGGTACAGTGAGACTGCGCAGGACTGCGAGCACAGAGACTGTGAGAGATATTTGATATATACAGTGCAGTGATGGTGTGTGAGGCTGGGGCTGCTGCTGGGTGGTCTCCCTCACTTGTCAGCATCTGCCAGAGCAGCTGGACGCCCACTGCTCATGTTGGGTGGGATGTGGAGGAGCAGATGCTAGAGCAGCAAGAGGATTTAATGTCTCTTTGGCAGTAGGAAGGTCCTCTTTTCCTGGTCTTGAGGCCAGGATGAGGATCTCTCATCTGGAGAGAACTCATTTCTGTCTGGAGGTAACCTTAAACAGCATCAGCTGCCCCGATGACCTCCATCCTCTGGCTCAAAGGGAATTTTTCCCATCACAGAGAGATTAAGAGAGCTCTGTCAAATCCTTTTTCTTCTTGTCTGTGAGTTGGCTTGGTGAGGCCTGTGTCTGCAGTCACTGTGAGGGAATGGCCTGAAGTTGTGTCAGGGGAGGTTTCAGTTGGATATTAGAAAAAGGTTCTTTCCCCAGAGGGTGGTGGGGCACTGAAGAGGCTCCCCAGGGCAGTGGTCACAGCACCAAGGCTGACAGAGCTCAAGGAGTGTTTGGATGATCCTCTCAGGCACAGGATGTGACTTCTGGGGTGTCCTATGCAAGGCTGAGGGTTGGACTGGATGATCCTTGTGGGTCCCTTCCAGCTCAGCATATTCTGTGATTCTGTATGCTCCAGCCCTCTGCCCTCCACGTGACTGCAGAGGAGGTTGTGTTTTGTAGCATGATGCTGAGCTCTGGGAGCAGAGTCAGGCCTGGAATTCCTGCCATCCTCTGCTCCTGCCACATGAATGCCTTGACCTCCAGGTTCCTACATGAATGCTTTCCCTGCTGACAAATGTATTGATCTCCCAGCTGACTGGGATTTAGGTGCAAGCCAGTGACGACTATTTTTATCTCTCCTCCTTATATGGTACCTCAAAATTATCTTAGCCTGAAATCTTGGCAGTTCTTTATCAAGCTCGGGCTTTGGTTCTCAGACCTCTTGTTGCCCCATGCGCTGTAGATCATTCACAGTTTATACTGGAAGAGGCACAGGAGGAACAGCAGCCTGGAGCAGCTGTGTCAGGGACATATTCTGTCCACTCTCTGGGTGATGAAACACGTGTGAGCATGAGGCCAGGGAAGGGTAATATGCCCCATTCTTCCCTAAGCAAACACTTCCTGAAGCCTGTCTGTGGCAGCAGGAATGAGGTGACTGTGATCTGCAAACAGAACCCATGCAGAGACTAAGATTTTCCACTGAGCTCTATCCATCGTTTTGCTCCTGTGCTGTTGGCACTGCAACAGCACTTGGTGTGCAGGACATTGTGGGCACTGGGGGAGCTGGTCCACCCCTCATTTCCCAGAAAATAATTTCTTTTTCCTTCCACGAAGCTGGGCCCTTGTGGGAGCAGGATTTAGGACATGATGCCACAGTGGTGATGTGATAAACATCATCATCTGCCACTTCTAAATGCCCAGAGGGACTTTCCTGGTGTGGCAGCTGACAGGGCAGCAGCTCTTGGGCAGGCAGGCCAGGCTGCAGCCCAGGTGGCTGCACAGTCTCAGAGGTTGCTAAGACATGAGTGTGAGCCATCCAGCACTAAACATCCCGGGTGACCAAGGAGCTGAGGGACTCGCTGATGGCAGCCAGAGGAGCTGTTTTTAACAGGCTCAGGACTTGGTGTCCAGGCTGATGCTTACTGGCATTTCCTTTTCCATGTGCCTGTTGTTGTGACCCTCCTTGTCCCAGATGCATGAGCGCTTTAGGACCGTCCACCCAAGGAGCTGTGCAGGAGCTGTGCCATGCCTGGCACATTTGGACATGTCTGCTAAACTGGCTTGTTCCTCTCCCCTGATCAGGTTCAGCCTGGATGTCACAGAGATGGGCAGTGACCCAGAGCAGGAGGATGTGGGGAAGAGAAGCCAGTCCTGCCCACAGCCTCACGTGTCCCTTCAGCTGCCCAAAGGGGTGCTGGGAGCCTGGAGCAGTAGCAGGGCTGGCACAGTGATCAAAGTGGAGATAGAGTCGCTGCTCCCGAAGCTCACGGTGGGCCCCAGCCTGCAGGAGGTGGTGAGTGGGGAAGGCTGTGCACAGGGGCAGGAGGGAGAGCTGGGGGGGCAGAAGGGTCTGCCGCATGCTGGGCTCCTTCAGTGCCAGCATTGAACCGGGTGTGCCAGGAGGTCTGCAGGAATCTCAGCAAGAATGAGGCTTCTCTGCTCCAGGGCAAACTGCCCTGTCTTGCAGGATAAAGGCCCTGGGAGATGCTGAAGCACAGCCCTCTTTTCCCATATATCTAGCGGGAATTTCCCTTAATGCAGCCTGAGCCTGTTGCCTCTTTTCCTGTCAGTGTGCACCTGTAAGAAGAGTCTAGCTCTATCTACTCTATAATCCTCTGTCAGTGAGTTGAAGGCAGGAGTGTCACTCCCCTTCTTTGGGCTCAATGACAATTGATACATGTTCTAAAAAGTGAGAAGTGCCTAAGAAGGTTTCAGTCCCAAATGTCACTTGCTCCAGCTTCCCTGGAGCCCAGACCTGAGGCCGACAAACAGTTGGGCCTTATGTATCCTGCATCATAACCCTGACAAAACAGGAGGCAAGGGGTGAGGAATCAGCTGTGATGGAGGCTCCCTTGGTACACAAAGCACCAAAGATGTCCATGACTTTTTACTTCTCCAGAAATGTGTCAACAATGGGAAGAGACTGAGGTCCAAGTCTGTCCCAGCAGCCTGTGAGACCGTTGCCTCCCCTCAGATACCTCTCAGTTTCAACACTTCTCTTCCAGTTGTGGAAGGTTGGTATAGACTATATCCATGGCATTAAATGAGTTCAAGGTGTGATTAAGAAGATAAAAAACTGGAGCTGTAGCCTCTGCAAGCCTGGACATCCTCTGCTTACCCTTCCACATGGTCCCAATAGCTGCAGAAATACAAAGCCAAGCTGACTTTGAGTCTGGCCCTGGCTAACAGTGCAGTCTAAGCTCAGTTGTGCCCATCCCCAGTGACACAATGCCACACAACCTCTCTGTGGCAGTGTGTTGGTCACTCCCTACTCACACAAGGCCCACATGTGAGGACTGGCCCAGAGCTAAATGTAGACACTTAATAGCACAGCCTGGGAAGTGGAGGGTCTCTGGGGTTGGATCAGCTCCTATCCCTGGGCTGCAAAGCAGGATCCTCAGTAGTTACTTTAATACAGACTGGAGAGGGGAGGGGTAACATAGAAAATGATGTAGCCTTCACCTCGCCCACAGAAATGCAGAGCAGCCTCTTCCTTCCTAACTGCTCCTAGCATTTCTTCCTCCTCATTAAAGGCAGAGTGGGAGCCCAGCAAGATTAACAGGGTCCAGTTGCATATCTTGCAATGTAGTGTTCTACAAAGGTAAACCAGGTTTTCTGCTGAGAGCATTGTGTGTTCCAGGTGTTGAACCCCCTGCTCTGGAGGTGCTGGAGAAGGACCACGTGTCCCCAGACCATGTGTAGGTATTGTCAGTCCCGGCTGTTTTGAGAGGAAAGAGATTCTTGGGTGTATCTGAGCTACTGGGGATGCAACAGCAACGGAGATCCCACTCCATGCTGGGGCACAGCTGAGTAGTTGGTCTTAAACCAGCACTTGAGGCTTTGTGGGATGCAGAATGTCTGTGCAAGGACATTTTCTAATCCCTCCCTTCTCTTTTGCCCCATCCCTGGTAGCTTAAATGTCCAGAAGGTTCTTCAGGAGCTGAAACATTACCATGGGTAAGTGTGTGTGGGAGAGGGACATGGATGGGGATGTCACAGGACCCATCTGGCAAAGGACACTCGGTTCCTTGAGGGGCAAATCCCCAGGGTACCAGAATCACTGATTTCTTCCAGTGAAACTCTGGTAGAATTGCAAGGAGAAGGGACATTTCATGGGCCTCTTCTGTAACTCTAAAGGTGTTCCTGCCCCATCTCCAAAGACAAGACTTCCTGCTGACCCAGAAGTTCTGCTCTTGTGTTCTTTGCTGTGTGTCTGATGCCTTTTCCCTGGCCAGGGTGAAGCAGAGAGCTTGTGTGCAAGAAGGCAGTGACTCTTCCCAGCAGAACATCACTTGGTTTGAGTTCCTGTCTAATGAGTAAGTGACACAGAGGGTAACCCACACACTTCATGTTCCCAGAGCAGACTGATTTCAAGCCCCCCTCCATCTAAGCTCTACTGCCTTGCTAATCCTGAGTGCAGGACACTGGTATTGCAGGGGTTCAGCCAGGATCGGGGCACTGAATAACACCACAGACACAGACAGAACTTGCACACACAGTTTGAAAGTTCAGCTCCTTATTTGCAAGTGTCTCATTAATAAATGACATGGCTGATGCCAAACCAGATCCTCCAGGAGACGGAAAGCTCAGACTTGGGGTTCTAAAATAATGCATTAATGAACTTTATCAGTGATCTCCCTGAGCTGGGCTTGGCCAGTGGATTTCCCCTTCATTAAGATGTTTTTGTTTTATTTCAGAAATGAGGACAGTGGGAAGAGCGATAAAGCAGAGAAAGGCACAAAGGTGATGAGACGCCTGAGTTCCCTACGGAGCCGAGTCACTGGATCCTGGCAGAAGGATAAGGTGAGGGAGAAATGCTGAATTTGTGGAAGGAATTGTGAAATTCTTCAAGTAGAAAAGGGGATCTTACCCCAGAGAGTAGTTGACTGGATTGCTTTTGGGTGGCCAAGGCCTCTATCTTGGTCAATAGATGCACTGTGCCTCCTAACATAGTGCACGGGACAGAGCGATCCCCAACTTCCATCCCACCCTCCTCTAGGGCACATTCTAAATGCTCCTGTGCTGCCTTAGTTGTGCAGAGCAAGAGGAGTGCCTTGGCTGGGTGACTGCCTGGATCACCCTCTGTGGCAGGGAAGAGCCTGCAGAGACAAAGCCAAGTGCTGTATCCTGCCCTTTGTCACACCTAGACTGGACCTAGACTAGAGGGACTTGCTCAAACCTTTGGGAAAAGCACTGCCATCCCACTGTACCTGAACCCACCAGCTTCCTGCACACTCCTTTGTAGCAGCGGGGAAAGGAACACGTGGGCAGTGTAAGGCCTGTGACGAGCTGTGTTCTTCTCTCCTTCCAGGGTAAGAACAAAGAGCAACCAAAGGAGAGAGAGAAGGAGAAAGACACGAAGGAGCCAAAAGAGAGGTGGAAAGAGATCAGTGGGCACCAGCTTGTGCCAGGGGTTTTCTCCAGCTGCACCAGCTGCTCACTGTGTGCCAAACCTCTTGTGAATAAAAGTGGTCTGCAGTGTCTGAGTGAGTATGGCTGTCACTGCCTGGCTCTGCCCCAGCCTCTGCTCCCACCTCCCCTCCAGCCCAGCCTAAACCAGCCTCCTGAATTGCCTAAACCAGCCTCCTGAATTGCTCAAAGCAGCCTCCTGGATTGCTTCACTTCTCTGCCTGGCTTGGCTCTACCCCACCACCCTGCTTGGCCTGGCTTGGTTGTTTCTCCAAAGAGTCTAAACGATCTCTAAATCCTGCCTGGATTTATCCTCATTTTCTTTGGTCATTTGACCATGTCCTGCCCCTTTCTCCCAAGGAGGGTTCTAGGTCAACTTCCCCTTCACTAATTTTCTTTTTCCATGAAGTTCTGCTTTGCCTGAACAAATATCCCAACTGCCTGAGTGCAGCTGGATCTTTTAGGCTGTTTGTCACAGCTGCAGTGATGTTTCAGCTCAGCATCTGCCCTATGCATGGGCACAGGGATTTCTAGAGCATCCAAAACTTTATTAACAAACACAAAAGTCAAATGGTGCCTCCTAGGACCTGCATGGGTGAGACTGTTGCTTTTTACCACTGAGTAGTGGTAAGTAGTGGTACCATCTGCACGGGCCTCTGTGCTCCCACTGCATCCACTGTGACGTGGCTTTGGCTGACAAACCCTGTCCCTCCTCTTTGGGGCAGGTACCCAGGGCACTGAAGAACACTTTAAAAGGGATTGTCTGTGGGCAGAGAAAATTTCTGGAATTGAAAGAATTGCTCTCTTTCTCCACCCTGTACCCTCTGGCAATGCTCGCTCTCTAGTGAGGGTCTCTCAGAGGCTCTTAAGGTCGGTAAAACCTTCCTGGGCCATAAGAGGACTGGCTGACCTTGGACATGTGTAGTGAGAAGTGTGTTTTCCCTTCAGGGCAGCTGGAGGGAAATTGAAAAGGGGTACAGACCTGGCTATTAGTGAATGGTTTTCAGGTGACACAGCAAAAAGTAGGAAGCTTTGTGGAATATTTAGAGAGAACCTAAATGTTATGAGAGGAGGCAGAGTTATGCCTTGTCATTCCTGTCTGAGGAACCTCCTCTGTTTGCAGTCCTGCAAAAATACCTTAACCTGAGAGGATACAAGACAGTCCCAGTGCACCAGGAGCTTGGAGCCATGCTCCAAGCATGGCCTTGGGAATGCTGAGGTTGTTGTTAGTATGAGTGATTCTCCTCTGGACAACTGCTATGGAGATCTGTGATCTGGAGTTGGAGGTAGTTGTCAAAATAGGAGTGTGGCTCAGCATATTTTTATCCATCATAAATGTGCGGGGATTGGACATAAGTTATAGTAACTTTTACCTTGTTTCTCAGCCCTTCCATGAGGAACCTGTGTTCTGTCTTGTTAACATTCAGAAGAAAAACTCCAAGGTGGCCGACGCACTGGTTTGTGTTTGGGACTCCGTGGCATCTCCTTTGGCTCTCAGCTGCTCAGGGATGTGCTGCCCAGGATAACATGGGCAGCAGGGCAGCATAGCTTGTTTTATTGTGTTCCCTTTGCTTGAACTGAGGCTGAATTGGGCAGGGTTTGGAGATGTTCATTAAATTAATGGCCTGTCTGCGGTGAGATGTGAACTAAGGCTTGTTGTGTGACAGCTGTTTGGCTGACAGTGCCTATATTTGGATGATGCTGGGCTGGTAGCTGCTATCACCAGCTCCCATTATTGCAGCTCAGAACAGTGTGTAGTCTCCTGAGTAGTCCCTGATAGAGCTCTGGGGCCACCAGGAAGCTGGAGCAGCAGGCCTACTTTTCAGAAGTGTGAGCTGCTCTGTCAGGGCTCGGTCTGAGCTGTAGTTGCTGCCAGGATCTGAGGAGATTTGGCTGCTGCTCTTGTTTTCTTGTCATGAACTCACATTTCACCATCTCTACGCCTTGGGCCCCAGCCAGCCCTTGGTCCATCGCTGGTCAGGTGCTGCCGTTGATGTTGCCTGTTAACTGCAGCACCAACATGTGGTACGAGGCAAAACGGGCTCATGGAAAATACAAGAAAAGATGATGGTTAAAGAAAAGGATGAGATGAAGCCAGGGAGAGGAAGGATGGGGGAATGATTAGGAAGCCTGAGATGTTCCACTGTCTCATAGACACAAAAAGTCTGGTGGCTTCCAAGGCTGTGAAGAATTAGAGAAGTGAGAGCACTTCTTATTAGAGACAGTAATAGCAGGAGGAATTTGGCTTTTAATTCAGAACAAAGAAACATTGTTCTGCTAGAAACATGCATGTGAGATGTGAAGAAGGTAGGCAGCCCAGGTAGCCTGGTACCTGGTATCTTGTTTCCCTGTCTCATCTGATTCCTCCCATCTATCCTTACATCACATGATACAGAGTATCCCAGGGATGGACTGAAGGAGGTTGTGCTGTGTGTCAAGAGTATGGACACAGGAGAGTCTCTGCAGCTCACAGATGTGCTATGAGGAGCCTGGCAGGGATGGAAAACAAAGGAATGGTTGCAGTCACTGGGATCTCGACAACAGTGGCCACCCAAACTCTGCCATTACGTAAACTATGAGCTGAGAGCCTCTGGGTTTACTGTTCACCTAGAAATGAGAAAGCTCCTTCTGAGCCTCTGCTGTCAAGGGTGGAGAAGGTTCTGTGCCTAAATTAATCTTCCCTTATAAACATGCTTCCAGAGTTTATGCAACAAGAGTTAGATGAGTCCCAGGAAAGCCCTGACAGGAAGAGAGCTCTCCAAGCAGGCTGTGCCATGGAGGCAAGCCAGGGATATGCTGTGGAATACAGATGAAGAGAAGGATTGCTTCCCTCCTAGTGACTTGAGCATTGGGGTAGAGGTGGGTCTTCCACATCCTCTTTAGCTGACAGTCACATCTTTATTACATTATAGGAGAGACAGAGCCTGGGCAGATCAAACAGATCAAACATCCTCCTCAAAAGGAAACCTGTAGCTGCAACCAAAGTTTGTCGGGCTTCAGACAAACTCCTCTTCTTTAAGTGAAGGTGCTAGATTTAATAAATCTTCCTGAACCATACAGGCTATGCTGGACTGTCCTAGGCTGACCCTTGCTGGCTGCTTCAGTGCACTGGCTGATCTCTAACAGATTGCCGTAACAACTGGTCACTAGGACTTATTTAAAGCGTGTTGTGAAAGAGGTTTGGAGACCCATTTCCTTTCTCACAATGAGTAAGTGAGAGGACATGGGTCTGTGAAGTTTGTCAGGCAAACATCCTCCATCCATGGCCAAGGAGAGGCCAGAATAGCTTTTGGTTTGGACTTGAAATTTGTGTGAAATTCACCTCTCACTTGGCACTTGTGCTTGCACGGTTTTGTTTTCTGGATTCCCAGTGCGGCACCAATAAACTAATATGAGAAGATAGTTTTGGCTTATAATAAACAGGAATTACTTGATTTTTCTATCCTGAAATTTCTGCTCATAGCCCACACAGAGTCCTGAGATATCTGAAAAGCAGCAGACAACCTGGAACTTTGTGTTTCCGGAGAGAGACACAGGTGCCAAAAACCTTCTATTTGGGTGGAAAAAAGGAGGTTTGGCTGCTGTAACATGATGACAGTGATAAATGGACCGGAAGTCCCACTTGGAATAAATGATTACTAACAGAATTCCAAACAAACAGAGGCTAAACCAGAGTGGCGGCATCAAGCCGTGGGTTAAGGTGGTTATGAGCCAATGGAGAAGGATCTGAAGCAAATGCGAAAGCGGCTGCAGTGCTGGTTGCAGAGGAAACACTGACTGAGCTGTGACTGTGCTGACACAGAGCTGGTTCACTCAACTCAAGAGGTTCTAGAAAAGGAAACCAAAGTACATCCTATTCTCAGTGCTTCTCCTTTTCACTTTCTTCTTGTATCTGGGCAGTACTGCCTTCATTTGGAGCATCTCCAAGTGCTGCCCATTCCATTCCCTAATAAAACCTCAGGATCTTGTCCACTCGGGCTGACAAATACATAAGGCTGCAGGACAGTAATCTACCTCTAACACATTCAGCAAGAAACCTTTTGTTATTACAGAATTACACAGGCTTAGAGAGTTGGTGCTCTTCTCCTCTTTGCAATCCAAACCTTAGCTCAAAGCTATGGAGTTTTTGAGCTGGCTGCTGTGCCAGATTTTGTACTGATTTTGTAGTGATGCCCTGAGGCAGCTGCACAAGCACAGCACGTCCTCTCTGTGACAGCTGCAGTTGGGCAATCTGCAATGCTTTACTTTTACATTACAGTGAAGCACAAAGTTTGAAGTGCCCAGGGATGAATCAGTCACCAAGTGACAGCCAGCTGTTTAACCCCAAACTGCTTTACTTAATGATTATGTCCCTGTAGTGCTGACAGGCCCCAATAAACAACTGGGACCTCATTGTACTCAGTCCTGTAGGGAAGCAGCACAAAAGGGAACATTTTGGAAAAGTTTGCAACTATGAGATGAAGAGAAAAATAAAATCAATTAAACAGGTGGCAGTGTGGAAACCAGAGACCATACTGGTCCCATGGCAGGATTTCAGCACATTTCAAGCCCAACCTGTGGCAGGTTCTTTCAGAGCAGCATGGGAAAGCCGCAGGGTGGATTTTGAGAGGGAAGTTTGTTTTGCAATCGTGTATGCTGTGTTTTCAGGCTCAACAGGCAACTTGGATATGTGTGACTGAAAATACAACAGACTTTTGATCAGCACTGTAAATCCTCAGAGTGAAATAGGGAGGTAAGGTTGGATAGTGAGCTCTTCCCAGTTTTTTTCCCTGCACTGAGTACTCCAGGAGCCTGGTGCTAATACATCAAACCACACTGGTGTCAGGGAAAAGATGGTTTTTCCAGCAAGCAGTTTGGTTCTACAAGTCAGTGCATGGATCTGCTGGTAATGAAGATAATTCCCCTTTGCTCTCGCCATTTGTCTGTGCAAGGATCACTGGCAAAGGCCTGGGCAGGCACTTGCTCTTGAGGGCAGATAGGGAAGCCAGCATCTGCCAACCCACCGGGCACCCCAGCCTTGCCTTGGTAAGGGTGTCCATAAACACTTCAGTACTTTGGGATGGTAAATCCCACCAGG